GATATTTCTCTGTAATTGATTAATGAAAAGAAATGTCAAATTAATGTTGAATACTGAATCTTATTTGCGACACCTTTTCAGTACCACCCTGGCCCAACTGGCTACAAAACTCAGACTGAAGTACTCGGCTACAATTTACAAATAGTTTTTACATGTTCATGTACCAGTAGAATCATACATCTGTGACAATACTAGACCAACTTGTACTTTGCATCTGATGAAGTAGTTGTTACCACGAAAGCTTATATGCAAACTTTCAATCAATACATTACACATTGTACTGTATGTACTCATTGAAAGTGCTACCTTACTTTTATATTTGAGTACCAGACCAGTGATAAGAAGATAAACCAGTAGTATGCACTGTGTACATGTACCTCAATACCATGAACCCTCTTTGTGAAATTTTCTTTTGTATGTAAAGCAGATAGCCACGTCTAGTCACCTTGTGTACATTTTGTGGGTTGTGGTTTGTACACATAACAGTGGAATCACAAACCATTCATTCCAGAGCAGTACATGTACTTCACAACATCAGCTGTGGACAGGCATGTCAGTTGTCAGTTACATGTAAATGACTGTTAACACCGATTGAAAGACTTAACGTTGTAACAAATTTTAAGACTATTTAAAGGAGTTTGTAACTTTGTTGACCACCAGCTGCCAAAGAAAAAAGTTTTTACAAATATTTTCAAGCTTGAGCCGGGAAATATTTTAATTTTAATTCACATGTAATACCGGTTTCTGGTAATGTGCGCGCGTCAGCCATGCACGTCAGCAAAATTAAAAAGTTTTTTTTTAATGTACATGTAAGATGATGTCTCAAAACCGCCAAACTCACTGGTTTGACTGGAATCCTGCTGCTGCACAATTTTAACGTGTTTTTAGATGGGGTAACGATCGAGTATAAGCTTTACGTGGCCTCTCTGGGCTCCAAAACATTTTGCACTAAATTTAGTCGGGCACCATTTGCTGTCATCAGCCAACATTTAAAGGAAAAAAAAGTAAAAACAAAAACAAAAAAAGCCGCGTCGCCGCACCTCTTTTGGGGCATAAGCTCCATACCAGAAACTGTCCGGAAACTTCTTTTTTTTTGGCCTAATGTTGTAAAATTTTGACTTTCCTGCAAGATTGACAGTACTTTAGCACTTGCTATCAAAGTAAGAAATCTCTTGTTTTATCCACATATGTCACTCCAATGATGTAATATATCAATAGCAGTTTTTGCAAGGATAACATTGTAGTTTGTCTCTTTTTTTATATTGGCATACAGTGGATCATTCCTCTGCATTTGTAACATACATGTGTGTTCCGGTAGCAAAGAATATCGTCCCAGCCATATTGATTGCAGAATTTAATAGCGCAGTGAAGCTGTAAAAATTTGGCCGAGAGTCAGACCACAGACGCTGTCAGTGTGAACTGTTGAGATGGCCCCTGATTGGGTTACCGCAAACAATCAGGGCTGTCCAGTTTCCAAGCAATTTGGATTTGGAAGTTCAGAGATAAATCATTCATGCCACGGCACCAGGCCGGCTGGCCAAGATGCATCAATATCAAGTTCATTTAAATGTTACCGTTAATACGGGCCAAATATTTAGCTGGTGTGTATATATTTCATGGCCTTGCTACAACCCAGAACATGTATACATTGAGGTGTGCACTGTAGAACAGTAGCACATTCTTGAGATTCATTTCTTGAAAAGCTAGGGTTTTAATTACTGTACGTGATGAATATTTCTTATGTGGAATATTAAGACATTGACTATTAAAACGTCTTGCAAAAATCTGAGTCTTTTCCATTGTTCAACATATAACATATAGATTTTTGCAACAGTTTACTTCAAGGGCTACCAGACTCACAAATCGCCAAACTCCAACGCATCCAAAATTCAGCTGCAAGACTAGTCACCCTCTCGAAGCCCCATCAACCCATATCACCTATTCTCCGTAATCTGCACTGGCTCCCAGTCAAGAGGAGGATAATCTACAAAACCCTTCTCCTAACATACCAATGTCTCCATCGTCTCGCCCCTACTTACCTCCAGCAATTAATCCATAAATATGAACCCCGTAGAAATCTTCGATCAAGCTCACAATCCCTGCTCGCCTGCTCCTCAACATCGACAAGGTCAATACGGTCAGCGAGCGTTTTCATCTGCAGCCCCAACCCTCTGGAACAAACTACCCAATCACATCAAGGAAGCCCCAACCCTGGACATTTTCAAAGCTAATCTTAAAACCCATCTGTTCACTGCAAATGAAATATAATGTTAGTGTTTTCCTCTGTTAATTGTTCAGCGCATTGGGACCCCGTGTAAAATGCGCTTTATAAGAATGGTTTATTATTATTATTATTATACCGGTATTGTGCATAATAGACATGTGGTACATGTACATGTATGTTGTTGTACATTTTTTATGTACACAAGCTTATGGATGGCTTTTCAGAAATTACTGTTTTAAGTTTATAAATTACTGCACAACCTTGGTAAATTGATACATTATTATACATGTATGATACCAGTACACATGCACCGTATTGTGTTACATGTACATTTACATATGTACATGGGACATGATTTAGTGTGTAAGTACCGTATGTACATGTACAATGTACATGTATGTACCGGTACATTGTGTGATAAAAATCCTAACATGCACAAAAAAGGTAAATCAATACATGTGCATTTTGATGATAGTGTGCAATGCTGATGCCATGGTTGCAGTACATGTATTTTTTAGTAAAACTTTTTGTGCACTGACTGTGCATGTTTACCTAAAAAACCTACAAAAAAGTCACATACAAATGTATGCAGAGTATTTACATGTATCCGTAGGACATGTATGTACGTGTTCATGTACTGACATACAAATCAGAAACTTGCAGTAGATTGTACCGGTACATGTACAATGTACATGTACCGGTACTCTTACAAACTGTCATGTTCAAATAAGGGGCCAGAAAATTACAGTGATTGTCAGGTCTGGATATTTTACATTGTAAGTGGTACATGTACATGTGTACACATGTACAAACGTACATGGCGTCATGTTCACCAACAGATGTTGTACATGTATACAGCACATGTTTCCATGTGAAGAAACACAGGAGGTACATAGATTTGCATCATTCATGTGGCGTACAGGAAACCCACAGCATCCCATTCTTGTCTATAGATGGCAAGTGAGTCATGCCATCGCTTTGTATCTTTGCAGGCTGTAGGCCTATATGATTCTGCATGGCCATTATTGCAATGTCAATGAACCAAGTGACAGGCCAGATTGTACGAGAACCAATCAGCCGTGAAACAAAATAATTTTCCTCAACCAGGAAGATACATGTACGCACGCGTACAGGAATACAAAAAAAAATGCTAATGTGTGATACAAAACGATGCAAAGTGTATTCATGAACGTGCTAGATTAATCTAGGCACGTACACGTACAACACGTACACCCATGCCATTTACATATTTTTAGCAGGTGTACAGACTTGCAAGTTACCGGTACAGTATACATTTGTACAAATGTGTATTTTTGTGCTGGTTAAATTGTAAGTTACACTTGTATACAACATTGTTCAAGCGCCGTATTTACAATGTATTTTGGGTGAAGCGAAAAAATTGCTGTTAACAAAATTGTCTTCCTAAATCGATATTGTTTTTTATGTTATTTAATGCTAAGTTTTTGTACGTGTAAATACCGGTACAAGTACAAACATGAACATGTTTACAGTATGGACATGAACATGTTTACATGGACATGAACATGTTATGGACATGTACACATGTCATGGACAGGTATGCATGTGGACATAAATGGACATGTCCATGTCCACGTGGAATTCATACATGTACTTCTACATTATTAAACCCATTGCTGCCCCAACTTGCCCCTTCCTGTAACTCCCTGTACTGTGCCCCAAATCGCACTCCATAATTGTCTTGAATCACCAGGAAACATACAATGCACATTTTGTATACGTTAAAGGGAATATACATCATTTGCTTTTGCTGTAATTTTCAGAAATGGATGGAATTGGGGGGGTTGGAAATATAAAGCAAATATAGTTGCACTGACTTTTTGGAGGTTTTGGGTTCGAAAATGCTATAAAAACCAAGAAAAACGATCATTTTCCTGTAGTCTGGTTCCCTAACTCCATATAAGAAGAAACAGAGCAGTTTACATACATTGGGGAATTGTAAGGTCAGGGAACCAGTCTAGCTGGCTCGTACCCGTTCATAGGTTTGTAATCGATTGCAAACAAGTGCAATGGTCAATTGGGGCCAGTATTTGAAAAAAAAGCCAGTTGTTTCCAACGCTGATCGGCCGATCAGCGTTGGAAATTGATACAAAAATACCACTTTTCTTGAAAATGACAGTATACCAGGTGCCATAATTTTACAGGATGCTTCAGGCTGTCATTTACCAACATCCTATTAAGGTATTTCGCAAAAACTTGGTAGTTTTTTTTTTTGATGTTTGCAAATGTTGTATATTCCCTTTAAGGTGCTAATGTCTTAATGGGTTAAATTAAGGAAAGAACAAACTGCTGTAAAGGGTGTTAAGTCTCGTCAGTCAACGTTCACTTTTACTGTGATGTCTCGATAGCAACCCCCCCTTCCCCTGTGTTTGAATTACCCCCAATTGTTATCTGCGTGATCGATTCAACGGAAGTTAAGATCAACATTGTTAATTTTATAATTTAGTCATAAAATAGCAATATGCTTTCTTTTTCGAAATACCCATTTGTTACCCTCATAATTAGATGGGCCCAGTCCGGCCCATGTATAAATGCAAAAAAATACAGGTAGGACGTTACACACGTCGTAAATCTTTGCAAAATCTGTATTCTTGCAAAATCTCTCAGGATTTGGGTCAACGTACACCCTGCTGTTCATATCATTCAAGCATTTGATGATTTTTATGGTGATTTCTTTTTATAATGATTTTTATTGCTTGTTAACATGCATATTTTGTGTTACTTCTTTTTCTATCAGTGACCGGGCATCTTGCTGAGGACCAGATTGCCTATGTATGCCAGGAGACTCTGAACGGTCTGCATTATCTGCACACCCTCAATATGATGCATAGAGACATCAAGGTACGGTATTTTTCGTGTTAATTTATACTGTAAAACATGAAAAGTTGAAGCTGAAATGGAAGCAACGTGGAGCCCTTTTTAAAATGGGGCCAGTCACTTTATTTCCCCCACCCCCTTTTTTAAAAACTTTTTTAAGTTTTGTGCATATCTTGGAATTTTGTAATCCCCAAGTGCACATCTGATACATGGGTTATTTTAAAATGCCCTTTTTTGGGGGGGGGGGGGGGGGGGGGAGGGGAATGAAAATGTAAAATTCTTCATCTTCGAACCCAGAACCTGTAGCATTTAAAACCACACATTTAATGCAGCACGCTATAGCTAAACCACACTGACCGTCGTGGAATGGAATATAAGCTTCAAGAACCTACGGTACATTGTATTCCAAATCAGGTGACATATTCGTTCACGTGATAAGTTTCACGCATGCTTATTAGCGTCAATGACTTTTACTGAGATGCGATAAAAATAGTTGCTGCCTTTAATGCACAATCGTAGGACACAGCCCATGACCCACGGAAATGGTGTGTCATTGTCCAATAGTGGGTACTCATTTTGTAAAATTTATACAACCGGTGTGTCAGAGTAGTGACGTCTCACGAAATGTAAACATGTACATTTGACGCGATTTAGCAACATTTTTGACCCACTTAAGCACATTGTAATTCATGTACTGAGGAAAAGTGATGCATCCTACAAATTGTTAGACACACACCAAATCATGACTTACGCACCCCTACTGTCACAGCCACGAAGAACATGACCACTCTTGATTCACCATGGGGGAGGGGTGGATCTTGATGCACCATGGGGGTGGGGTGGGTCGGGTCATGGGGTCTGTCTTACAATTGGCAGGTGCCCAGGGCACTATTGGTTTCACCAATGTGTCAAGTAGTGCAGTGTACATGTCACAGTGTAAATCAAAAGCTAATGGGTTCAAATTAATCAAATTTCGCTGTGCAGTGCACTTGTACTACATGTCAAAAAAGTCCTACTTTTGATCCTAAATAACTCTGTTGTTTACCAATGGCATTTAACCAAAATTTCAGATTATGTTAACAAGGCGTGACAAACTTTATTGAGCAGTTCATCAGCTTTGTGCAAGAGGGTGAGATTTAAATACCATAAGAAGAAAGTAAACAATTTTAGAATGTCGATACAGCTCTGGAGACAGTGGCGGAAGACCCGTGCTGCAGCCGAAAGCTCCTGAAGGAATGCAGGATCACCCCTGATGTCATTGCACACCTTCTCGATCGTGTGTTGCGCCAAACGATGGAGGAGGTGTGCAGTGACATCAGGGGGTGATCCTGCATTCCTTCAGAAGCTTTCGGCTTCAGCACGCGCCTTCCACCACCATCTCCAGCGCTGTATCGATTGGAGGACACCAAGGCGGAAGTGGCAGATTCTGAAAGTGAGTTTTCATTTCGCATGGCTTTTTAAATCTCACCCTCTTGCACAAAACTGATGAAACTTGCTCCATAAAATTCATCATGTCTTGTTTACATGATCTGAAATTTTGGTTTAATTCCATTGGAAAACAACAGAGTTATTAAGGATCAAAAGTAGGACATGTTTTTTTGTTGACATGTAGTTACTGGCTTCTTTACAGGCTTGAAACTGAAAGAAGTCAGACATGTGTACAACAGTAAACACACTCTATAGCAAAGCCTTCACTCATTCAAGGTTGTTGCACTTGTTGTGGGGCTTATAATCCTTCTTTCCCCCTGGGGGAGGACTTGTCAGACAGGCAGTTGTATTTCCCTCATCATCTGATTTGGATGTGTCTGGCGGTGGCTGCCTAGTCAAGCTGAATGGGGTTAGTGGGCTTTATCCTGGGGGCAGTCTGGTCTGTGTGGGTCTGGAGCCCTTTGCGTGGCCACTCTCAGAGTCTCAGAAAATTGCAGTTCATTTGCCAATTGCTGACTGTCTGCCAAGTGGTTTCGTTTTCATGTCATCAACAGGAGAGAAAAATAGGACATTACACTGTACATGTACATGTTACCATAATATCCACATCACACACATACATGTACATGTACATGTATGATGTACATGTACATGTACATACATTTTGTACATCATACATGTACCGGTACATGTGTGTGATGTGGATATGTTAGACCAGTGTATTTACATGTTCATGTATTTGAATATTTACTGTACATGTACATGTAAATGTACGTAAAAAGTACATGTATGTGTACATTAATTGTACTTGCGCTGCACATGTTTAGTACATGGACATTGTACATTCATGGTTAACATGTATACATTTTCAGATGTATACATGTACATTGTACATACACATGCACATGTACAGCACTTGAAATGAGAGACACATTACATGTAAATCAGGCATGCAACTTTTCCTCGGATTTTATGATTTCTTCGTTTTTTTTTACTTCTCATGAATGGCAAATTGAAAAATACTGAACAAAGTCTCGTGTGGTTTGGTATGCACTCGTTTTTTGCTAAATTCCCATTGCATGCCTGAATAGTACATGTATGTTTCACGTTGTCACAATGCCTGCATCTTACTGAGTGTCAGCATACATGTACATGTACACATGTACGGTAGTAAATGAAAAGTAATACATTTAGTGGGCAGGCATGTGTGAAATGCCACTCAAAATGCGTCGACACGGTGTAGTGATCCAATGCAAATTGATGACATCCAACAGAAAATGCACATGTACATGTACATTTGTACACATACATGTTCATTGTATACAAACATACAGTGTATTTGATTTTTAGGAATTCATGGCACATGTTCAAGTACATGTACGTGTATATACACGTAAATACCAACAAGTTGTTTTGAGCCATATTTCTGGAGCTTTGTGAATCAGAAGCAAAGAATAAAACAGTCATTAATTTAAAAATCACCCACAGTATGAGCAAAAATTGGTCTTGCTCCAACTATAACAGACGTGTCCATGGACATGGACATGTACAATATGCATGTGTGCGCGTACACATGTACATGTACATGTACATGCACACACAAGCGCGTCCACACGTGGACGTCCTATTGTCCCTCTTTTTTTGTACTCTCTTTAGGAAGACTCCCACAGGTTTTGTACACGACCCCAATCGCAGACTTATGCTGGGAATCGTAGACGATATTGTTCTCTTTTGTTCTCTGGAACTTTTCGTCCACGGTTTGAATAGATGAACACGCCCACTATATACATGAAGCTTACATTCAAACCTAATGTTGCCCATCCAAAAGCATCTTTGTTTGTATTGGCAATTTCGATCGCCCAAAGCCCCAGTTTGCAACGCCACTTTGTACTTTCGTGTAATCGTCCTTTGCTGAGGTCATGTTATTCTGCAAACCTTTCTGTTTGCACATGTTCAAGTGAGGCAGGGCAATTTGTTCTTAAATGTTTGCATAATTCAGACGCGCAAATGCGCAGTGTTTCGATTCACAACAGTTTTTACATGTCTACCCTTCTTGTTTCCTCAATACTTGTTTAATTGTACAGGGAGCCAACATCCTCTTGACTGATCATGGTGACTGCAAGCTTGGTAAGTTAATCATAGACTGACATCTCCGTCAATTATTTGTACCCCCGTTAGTCACATAAACAATAATGAACGGGAGTTTTAAAAATACATGTAATGATCACATTACCGATGTTTTTCCAGTGGGTATACATTTTTCCAGTTTTGTTTTTGTTTTTATCTGTTTGAAAATCAGTTTGAACTTTAACTGTTAAATCAGCATACAGGCCGTAAGTGGAGTAATTTTTTCATCAGATTAATTTCAAATATAGTTTCAAATGGCCGAATTTCCCTTTTTTTTTAATGGGGGGCCTCACATGACTGCAAACAGTTTATATTTTGTACATGTGTGTACAAATAATTTACAATACTACAAAAATCCAAAGCAGACTTGACCCCAGGATAATCATGATGTGTGGACAATATTTTCACAGCATTTCTAGCTCAGAGTCAGAAATTTAATAGCCACTTGACTTGCTGTTTCAATGATATAATAACCAATATGACAGTCTTCCCGCAACACAAGGTCACAACAATCAGGGATATACACATAGTAATACACATACTGCCTTTTCACACTGTGATACCCGGTAGGTGTGAGGTGTCGCGATACTGGGGCACTGAATACATTTGTACATGTACATAATACAATACAAAATATTGGTACGTAGTGATTGCAGCTGTTTGACATGACAAGTACATGTACATGTACCATACATTATGTACCCATTGATGTAATAACCAAATGTTTGCAGCTGGAAAAATGCTTCAGATGATTATTGTGTTTTCAAATTTCCTTTTTGGAGATACGGTACCAGTATGGTTAATAGTTTGTTCAAAATGACAAGATTTACATGTAGTGTTCACAGATTTGTACTCGTAGTGCCTGAAATAGTCTGTCAATCAGTGAAATTGTAACCATACACGTACCAGTACCCCGCTAGCCCAGTCACAGATTTGCATACTGTAATATCATATCACGGCATCAATGTAACAGACATTTTCATTGTTGAGATTATTGCAGTGAGTTCAAGACAAACAGCGGACCTGTCAAATACTGCTACATGTACATGTACATGTACCGGTGCACGTACATGTATGTCGACTCATTACATTTAGCTTTGCCTGTATTTGTTTTCATTCGATATGTACATGTAATCTTCACTCAGATGTCATGTAGTCTTCACTCAGATGTCAAATCTTAAGCATCAAGGAAAATGAGGAATGTTTTAATCACTATAAATTTAAAACCAATTTGGAAAAAAAAAAGTTGTCAGTGCGTTTATTAACTGCATACATTTCTTGGATTTTTGTTGTTGCAGCTGATTTCGGTGTATCGGCCCAGATCACTCAGACCACCATGAAGAGGAAATCTTTCATCGGTACCCCGTACTGGATGGCTCCCGAGGTGGCCGCTGTGGAACGGACAGGGGGCTACAATTCACAAGTAAAAAGTTGTCTTTTTTTCTGATCAAGCATAGAAAAACAATGATAGTTATTGCTACTTTTCCAGCAAACCTGAACCACTGACAAAATGTTGTTCGCTGTGTATGGACAGATGCATTGTACACTAAGTGCTCCTTTAGTCTGGTTCCCCGACCTGACAATTTCCCCAAGCGTCCACACGTCTAAATTGTAGGTCAGGCAGCCTCCGTGGCTAAAAATAAACATGACGACATTGACGGCCCTTTTTTAAAGCTCGGCTTCGTTTCCGAATTCGCTTTATCACTTAAAGCTTTTAATGTTCCGATCAAATTTTAAAATAAATCACTTGCTTCATATATCATACAGTTATGAAAATACAGTTTGATATTTCTGTACTTAAGATAACATTGACTAGTGTTGATCTGGAATCTTCAAAATTAGGCACCCAAATAGCACTGTTAGCAGGCGGAGCCGAATGAAGACCGAGTTTTGGAAAGCTCGGTAACAGTCGTCAAATTCAAAATAGTACATGACGAAGCAAAAAGTTCACCCATACGATCCGAGTATACTTGATGCACAAAATCGTCGTTGAATTTCAAGTTTTCTAAATGAAAAGCAATGAATATTAATTATCAACTCATTTTAAAAAGTTTTTGATAAGCAATAAGCAGTTAACTAAAACTATATTATACCCTGAAATACTTGGGCGCTATCCAATTGTCGACGAAATGAATTCGGCAAACTTCGGACATTTTCGGAAAAAGGAGGAATTCCTCCCGTTTTAGTCTAGTCACGTGACGTAAATTGTAATACAATGTATTACCGGAGGCTACCTGACCTAAGCTTCATCAGGAACAGTCAGAATCTTTTGGTCTGGGAACCAGACTAGTGCTCCTTGAACAATGACATTGACAGTTGGTAGAGAGTGTGAGTGGTAACCAGGAGGTTGCAGGTTCAAACCCCACTCTAGTAAATTTCTTAGTAATCCTTAGTTATCTAGTAATCCTCTTGAGTGTATGAAAACTAATTGACATCCCCTTTTTAGTGAATTTTACTAAAAAGTTGCAGTTCTTTAAACATTTAAAATTGTCCATGCTTTTCCAGACAGCTGAGGGCGCTGTTGCCGTGATGTCATTTCAGGAAGACACTGTTCATATGAGGTGTTTTCTTTTCAAATTGTAAACCCGAAAATTTGCTCATTGAAAACATGTGTGAAGTTTACTAATTGGCGTACTACCATGAACTGACAACAGCAAATCACTAAAGAACAGAAAGTTTACGACAGCGAAATATCTAAAATTCTGGTAACTTTTTTTGTGCACAAACCAATTGCAGCATTCAGGTTTCTGCCTGATATGACATCACACTTTTGCTCAAGAATATGGAAATTTGCATTACCATAAAAACCAAAGTGGCAGCAAAATACCCTTGAAAAGAGCAAACTTGAAAATTGAAAATGAGGTTAAATGGGACACAAAGGTGCACTTTCAAGAATTGCATTAAAAAAATACATCATGGGCCCTTTAACCCTAACTCCCTGGCATGATTTACTAGGAACCATACCCATCCTGGCAAATTCCAACACCATATGGGAAACTGCACACACATACCGGTATTTCCGACTTTGTTTCTGGAGTTGTGCCAACCCAATGTAAAAGACATGATCAGTTAAGGGGTACTGTACCCATCCTGACAGATTCCAACAAAACATGCCGTTGGGGTTGGATGGGTTGAGTTCTTTTAGGGTTAATTTTCATATTGTGGTTATTTGGCTCTGTCACAGACACTACACTTCCTTTCACGCTGGAATTACCGGAATCTTTTAAACGTCCCTTCTGTTCTTTTTCAGTGTGACGTTTGGGCGGTAGGAGTCACAGCGATTGAGCTGGCTGAGTTACAGCCACCCATGTTTGATCTTCATCCCATGAGGTGAGCATACAACAATCTTGCTGTAGTCTCATGTTCACGTTGGTGAACATGTTCGAGTTGTGCGTTGGTTCTCTCCTGTGCCACGAGGGTTTTCTCCGGGCCCTCCGGTTTTCCTCCCTCCGGAAAAATCAAACACTTTCGATCTCAGGCTGTGCTCCGTGGTCATATATGGGTCGATGTGGCCGGCAGCCATAGGCGCCTTTACGTGCCAGCGGCCCGACCACGTTGTAGCCGCGTCCTTCGCAATAATGCACACCAGCTGCGAGTAAGGATGATTAGCCTCCCAAATTATTATTATTATTATTATTCACAGTCTTTCATCAGAACAAGGTTTCTGTAGAGGAAGATCTGTATAACCAGTGGTCCCTCAGTGTTGGCCGTCTACAAGTCAAAATCAGCAAAATTAATTAGGACCAGTAATTTTGAGTTTCACTTCGAAATATAGATTTCATTTTCAGTTTGCTGTTTTTTTCTAGAAATGTAAAAGTTATTCGCTTTTGGAATAAGACAAAAAAGTCCATCCACACTAAGTTATGGAATACATGTAGTTACTTTACAAGAGTTGAATTGTTTGCAATAATTCATGCATACAGTGGAACGCCGTTACCGTATAACGAACACCGCGGGTTCCACAGAAATTGTTGGTAATAGCGATTTTAAGCTGCTGGTGCTCCGGTACTCACTTTTCAATAAATAGCGCCCTTCAGAACTTCACCCTGCACACCCTGGTAGCTACTGAAAGATGTCTTTGAACACTTGCCGACTATTGAATCATGTATTTACACAGTTTCTGAGCTTACTACCTACAGCAATGGGTGGCTTTCCCCTTCCATTCCGTTAAGGAGAATACACGAGAAAGTGTGGATTCGTAATTTAAGAATTCACGAGGCGCGAAGAGCCAAGTGAATTTGTAAATTAAGAATCCACACTTGCGAGTGTATTCTTCGACTTAAACCATTGCGTCAACCGAAGTATTGAAAAGAATGTTGCAACCTGACGCCACTATTTCCTTCATAAATCATCTCAATGAAGGTCATTCGTTGCAAAAATGATGATAAGACATGAATCTGGGACTGAGAAATGTTTCCAATTTTGTTAGGAAATACTTGAAATGACTCTCCATAGACTTTGTACACAAGCGCGGAAGTGGCGTCAGGTTGCAACATTTTTTCCTGGCGTGTTTAGCATGTGTATGCCACACGTACACCGATACAACCAAGTCATTTTGTGTGTGTAGGCTCTTTACTTCAAAGTTCAGACGACGATTTCTTTCTGACTAAGAGTAGATTTTGCAGTGACGGCGGAGAATCTGACAGTGAAGATGCATTGGTAATTTTCGGAAAGCAAATTTTCACGCAGACGGTCCTATTCATGCTCATTATGGGGAAGAATTGTCCGACGTGTTCAAAGTGTGGATTCGTAATTCCGAATCCACACTTTACTAAAGATTCGTCGTTCCGAATCCACACTTTGTGACCAGTGTAAGAGATTCGTAGATCCAAATCCACACTTTTAACAATAGTGTGACGTCATAGCAATGGTTGAAATGGGGAAATAACAGCCACTTGTCTCTCTTCTGTTGACATTTTTCAACAACAATGTCCGCTACGTTTTGTACAAAAAAATCAGGAGCCAAGGACGATGTTCGGTATAGCCAAATGTTCGGTATAGCGGTGTACGATATAGCGACGTTCATGTACTACCTTTAACTGTTGAAGCATCACATTTTTTTTCCCCTATCCCAGGGCACTGTATCTCATGTCAAAGAAGAACTTTGTGCCACCCAAGCTGAAGGAGCAGACCAAGTGGTCGGCCAACTTCCATGGGTTCTTGAAGAGCGCCCTCACCAAGAACCCCAAGAAGCGACCGCTGGCCGAGAAACTTCTACGGGTAGGTGGAGCGCATGTTAAACAAAAGGCACACGGATATGGTCATTGTGCATACATGTATGTACATGGATGAAGTGAAGATGTAGCTTATGGAAAAGTTTGAAATTCTTCAGTTGGTGGGCAAGGCCACTTTGGCCTTAGAGCATGTAGAGAAGTCAAAATTTTCCAGGGCTTCACGCCCAGTGATGAGGGCACCAAGGCCAAGGACAAGGTGCAAACAACACGAATGCCAGTTCATAAAAACAACAATTAATAAATCAAACTTAAGGTCTTGCATCATGTCATCTTCGTTTGCAAAATTAATCATGGGTACTATTTTAACTGCATGGCCATGAAACCAACTCAACAAAATGTAAACAAAAATCATTGGGAATTTTTCAGTCTGAAAAAATAATCACAGTAAAATCACTGCAGCTACTGAAAAAAATTTCACATTTTTAATACCAATCAACAAAACATGGCCCTGACGGTACTGGAAAATCGAGCCGAAATTTTTTGGTATTGACCGAGACAGATACCACAGAACATGCACGTTATGCATAATGCAATGTGCCTGTGCCGCATGGTCGATCGAGCACGCTCTAGATGTTCGAAATGGTGGATCTTGCACCGTTCAAGTGATGAAGCCAAAAATTATAATAGTTTTGCTTCTGGTTAGCCTTCCTACCCTATTCTGACAGCCTTAACCTAATTTAATTTTGGGAAAAATGAGGGAAAAATCCCTGAAAATCATCAATTTCTACCTATTACCCTTGACTACAAGCAGACACCTCCATATGATCGTACACAAAAAACTTAAACCCCCCCCCCCAAAAAAATGTCCCTTCCTACCTACCCTATTTTCAAATGCCATGTAATCGGGAGCAGACCTATTATTTTTTTTGGCCTAATGTCACGTGGAGGTATGGCCTCAATAGTAGTTATAGCTTATAGAGGCCTGTTTTTGGACAAAGCCTTTCTCCCCAAATGAGTATCAGACTCGCCCTTCGACACGTTTATTTCTGTCTCTTTTCAGCACCCATTTATCACTGATACGCCTGGGCTGAGCCAGATGCTGATGAAACAGTTGCTGGACAAAGCAAACAACATCAACAAGACTCCAACCTACGTACCAATGGACGATGATGAAGATGATATACTGGACAATATCCAGGTAGTTACTGCAGTCTCAGGTTGTTTGAACTTGCTTATTTACAAAAATTATTTACAAACGAAATCTGATCCCGCCGATTTTAATTCCCTCATTCCAGCCCATCCTACCTGGTTTCACACAGTAAACAATGAATAAAATGGTTAAAAAATAAAATTAAGTCGTTAAATACATGTTAGCTGTATATAAGCTGTATAAGCTGTAAACGGCCAAAACGTTCTATCACGGGGTGAAATATAGATGTGTTACTGTTCGTTTTTCTGGCTTGTTTATCTTCAAATTTCAATGTTTTTCTTTTTCATTTTTTTCAACTTTGTTTACCATAGCAAACATGTATTTAATGTCAAACAATCTGTTTTCTGACTTATTTTACCAATGTGTGAGTGCAGTGAAGTACCATGTGCCCACTGAATAGGAAACTTGCATTGGCATTTTACGAAATTGTGATGTATGGATTTTATACTAACATTGGTTGAGTGTACAGATTTCTTCAAGATGTCACTTAGGTCACTTTCAATTCACATAAAAGGCTATCCTGTAGCAGAATGTAAATGTATACAAAAACTGTATGGAATAATTGTAATTTTCCTGTTTGTAGATTGGGGCCAGAAAAAGGGTTCCGTCAAAAAGAACAGACAAAGGCGGAGACAGGCCACAGTCCGCTATAAATCGTAAGTGGTATCATTTTCCCCCCGTATGTTCCAGTTGTTGGAGTAAAGGTCATGCAGTAATGTTGTGCAATCCGGTCGGGTTGACCAGCCCAAACCAAGCCGAAACAATATAGATATAACCGAACCGAAACCAATCTGAATTCCCTAAATGTGACCTGGTCATACCAGACAACAACTCAAGCAAAAACCAACCTGAAACCGAACTGACCTGAAACCGAACGGACCCGAAAGAAACCGAATATCAGGCTTGGGCAATTGTGTCCTCTTTTTGCGCCTGAACTTACCCTAGTCGTGGGAAAATCGTCGTCTCTCAGTAACTAAATCGTACCATACTTCACAGTGGAGACTCAGAACATGACCTACTGGTGGGCCTACACGTTATAGACTCTGCGTGGATAGATCGCAAACAACATACACGGTGTGTTGACGTTGGTCGCACCGATAAATAAAACCTATTTTTACCCGGAAATACCTGGGCTCTATCCGAGTGTGTCGACGAAATGCATTCGGCAAACTTCGGACATTTTCGGAAACGGGAGGCATTCCTCCGGTTTTGGTCACGTGCTATTTTATATGTTGTAGTGGTTACCTGACCTCAAAATTCATCAGAAATAGTCAAAATCTTTTGGTCTGGGCACCGGAATAATGGGCTCTGTGCATGAACGGAGAGGGCGCTCTTTTACCACTTTTGAGAGCCCCATGGACGGGACACACTGCGTGGGCGTGTAGCAGGAAGTACGCAGGAAGTACGCACGAGTAATTTTATTCATAATGTGCTCAAAACCATAGCGTCTTCATGTGCGCATCGAGCGTCATCGGCAATGCATTGGAATGTCCCAGTGGTCTCCCCCAACTCTCCCTTTCTTACTGTTGAGGGGGGTACTTGTGTGCGGAGCCCATTGCAGCTGGCAGCTTGGGACTCTTTAACCCTAAAGGGGCCGGGTTATTTTTACCATCTCTCAGCTGGGGGGGGGGGGGGGGATTCCGCCAATTGATTATTGATATGTACAAATGGCAATTCTGCTCTGTGTACACGACGTATATGGGAAAATTAAGTTTTCACGGCTCGTAGCGCCAGAAAATTTTTTACTACGCGGCAACCCGGGGTCTGATTTTTATGTTTTTGGTATCAAAAGATGCGCAAAGCTCGAGGCTAAAAAGTCATAACAGTTCGGGTCGCGAAAAATTTTTTTTTAGAGGCTATCGCGAAAATGTTAAAGGGAGGGGGGCGGATTCCACCCCCCGCCCCCCACCCGGCCCCTTTAGGGTTAAGGCAGCTTCAGTCCACCCGTTAGTTCTTGTTACACTTGGCAAGCTTCCACTTGAAAGCGTCAAGTCAAAAATTCTCTTGAGGGTTTATGGAATCGGCAGCAATCACTTATAATTGGATGTCATTTCTTTCACTGTAACCAGCTGAGAGCGTGAAGAACGCGGTGAAGATCCCGTCCCCAGCCATGCCGCCCAAAGCCAAGCAAGAGGACGAAGACATGGACAGCATGGGCGACCCCGATTACCAGCCGTCTCACGACTGGGCACCAGCGCCGGCCAGCAACGGGCCCAACAGGGAGAAAGTAAGGCCACCAGTCCCTCAGCCAAGGGATCCACGGCGGTTACCAACCAATCCGCCGGCTACCAGTAACAACGAGAATGACGTCCACAACAAAAAGTAAGTTGGTCGGCGATGACCCACGGACAGCGTTTTTTAATTTTTTTTTATTATTTGCTTTGCCTGCTCGCATGCTCCCTAGCTGCACTGTAAAAGCCCCACCTACTGGCATTTCCTTGTTGATCAGTGTATTGGGGGGGGGGGGAGGGGGCTAACCATCCTTACTTGTAGCAGAAGCTTAATTGCAAAGGGCACAAGTACAATATAGTCAAGCCGCTGTAAAGGCTCCTTACATGTATATATGGTAGTGCTGTATACCAAAGGTCTCAAAGCGCTTCACAATTACACCTGTTATCAGGCCATGGGACCAGTTTTCCGCAGCAGCTCGAGATCATCGCATTCTGGTCTCTACCTTCACGGGTACCCATTTATACTCCTGGGTGGAGAGAGGTGATTGTAGTATAGTGTCTTGCTCAAGAACACAAGCACCATGTTCCCCGTCAGGGTTCAAACCCACGTACCACGGCACATAACCACTGGACCTTATTTTTTTTTTCCCTTAAAATTAATTTAGTTTCAATTTCTGCAGAATTGCCCTAATTGTAAAAAAAAAATTGCCAAAACAGGAGTAATGATGAAACAGTGTAAGGAGAGATATTCTTAACAACAATTATCAATGGTACAATTTTTTTTTACATGATCGACAAGAAACTGTCCAGTTGTCTTGCCTGTTCTTTGTCTGTTTGATCAGTTGCACGAGCATGGAACCCCTGCATGTTGCAATTAAGCAAGTTAATTTCCAGCAGCTTTTACAATTTTAAGGAGTAGGAAAAAGAATATGAAAAAAAGTCTTCTCAATTATACAGTGTTTGAAATCTGATGAAGGCCTGGGAATGAGTATGCCAATGCAATAGCAAGCATTCATCCTGCATGCTTCGTGGGGAGTGTGGCCTAGTGGTTAGGGTTCGTGACTCATGATCAGAGGGTCAGGGGCTCGAATCCAGCTGCTGACTGTATGTTGTGTCCTTGGGCAAGCCACTTCACCCACACTTGCCTCTCTCCACCCAGGAGTATAAAATGGGTACCGGCATTAGCTGGGGAGTAACCTGCGATGGACTGGCATCCCATCCAGGGGGAGATAGAAATATTCTCAGTCGTTTTATGCCAAGGAAACCGGAGATAAGCGCCAGCCTGATGGGCCCCATTGGCTCGCGACAGACGTTACTTTTTTTAACATCCTGCATGCTTTAACCCAACCCATAACATGCTGAATGCCAATCCAAACAGGGGCCATTTTGTCGTATGTTGCAGCATGTGATACTTTGCTACATGTGTCGGTACATGTCTATGCTACATGTTCATAGAATGCTTTTGATATGCGAGTATGTACATGTTGTTTTTGTTTTTACCGGTAGTTTCATTTGCAAAATTTTCTGGTCTTCTACTGTTACTGCTGAACATTAAAGGGAATGTACAACATTTGCTCATGCTGCAATTTTCAGAAATAAATGGATTTGGAGGATTGGAATGTTATAGCAAATATTGTTAAACTGACTTGTTTCACGTTTTGGGCTTGTGGATGCTGGAAAAACCAAAAAAACAACCAATTATGTTCTTGTAGTCTGGTTCCCTGACCCCACTTAAGATGAAACGGAGCAATTTGTAGACTTTTGGGGAATTGTAAGGTCAGAGAATCAGTCTGGCAGGCTTGTACCCCTTCGCAGGTGTGTAATCAATTGCAAAGAAAATGCGGAATAACTAAATATGAAAAGTAGGAGCAGTTTTTGAAAATAAGCCAGTTTTCTCCAATGCTGGTCAGCTGACCAGCGTTGGGAAAAATACAATTTTTCTTTAAAATGTCAGCACATTAGGAGCCACGATTTTACAGGATGCTTTAGATTGTCATTCCCTGTCAATCCAGTAAGGTATTTCGTGAAAATTTGATCATTTCATTTTTTGATGTTTGCAAATGTTGTATCTTCCCTTTAAGCAAAAGCATTTTGGGAGGTTCCCACAGTGCCTTTCTGTACCCAAGATCATTAAAAGCATCGGACACCTTGTATAAAGCAGAAACACAAATATTGCCTGCATGCTAATGTGCATTATTTGAATATGGAATGAAATTTTCTTCTGCAAACATGGCCGGTACATCTGAAGGGCCACTTTAATAAACAAGCTGAGCCCTTTTTCTCTCAGTTTTTTTTTTGTCGATTCGCTTGAGAGAAATGTTTCAAATTTCCCCTCAGGGCTATTTTATTTAACATGTTTGCCTTTGAAAACTGCAAATTTGTGTAATTGAACAAGACAAATATGATTTTATATGATAATATAAAAGAAAAATATGATTTTGGCAATGCAAAATTTATTTGCGCCCCATTGGTCACGCTGTTCTTTTGGTTTGATCTTTGAAGTCAGTATTCAGGATATTTGTATGTCTTTTTAATGCCTTGGTATTACATGTACATGTAAGTTAGCAAAGTGAATGAAAAAAAATATTGCCTCAATATCGAGCTACCATATTGCATCTAAAGTGCTTTTAAAGTAAAAACAAATGTGACGGCAAAATTTCATCCAAGCTGGAATCAGTCGTGCATACATGTTCTTTACACTGACCCACCAAAAATGTCATCATACAAAATAGAAGACGTGTCTGATAACAGTTCTTCAAGATGGCAAATGGTCAGAACATGTCTTAAGACAGGTCATGAATTCACTCCCTACATGCACATGTACATGTATCACTGCCTTAAGACACTTTACATGTAACCCATCTCTTCCGTCATCTGGCCATGTCTGTTTCTCTCTCCCAAGGAGTTTACTGAGATCGGTGGCGGAGGAACTGGAGAAACGGTATGCATACTGCCTGCACTCCATCATATTTGTTTCCCTTGCTAATGTGAAACAATCTCATCCGTTTTTTGTTGGTTTTTTTTAGAGGAAGGAGCGAGAATTGAAATCCAAAGGTTCTGTCAGTTTATTGAAGTGATTTTTCTGTTCACTGGGAGTTATGGATATTAGCAGTTATTTCAAACTTCTCCGAATGTGAATTGATCAGATTCATATTTGAAATAGGAATCATCTTCATGCCAGCTTTTTTCTTGAAGTTGAACATTTTTTTTAGGAAACAGAAAGTGAGACCTTTTTTTTTTACTGTTTGAAAGACATACCGGTTGTTCAGATACAATTGTCTGTCTGGGAAAACCTAGTTAGAATGAACTGAAGATCTGCTGTGGTTGCTCTGTTGAAACTCGGCTTAAGTCCTCCTGAACCCTTTGGCACAATTCTCCACTCCTTCCTCATTAGACTATATGTTGCATGCATTCCCTTCTAATTTCACATGCTGCTACCTGTATCCTGCAATGTCATTTTTATGCCATTTAAATTTGGGCTGTAGATAAATAATAGAGAGGTTTCGCATTGGAACCGTCATGTGTTGCATAGTTATTGGGACCGGTACCAATAAAAGCAGTAGTACAAAATGGCAGCCTATAGACAAATCTGGCGATAGCCATTTTCTGCGGTGGAACCAGGCTTGCACGAGTCGTGCTCAGGTAGAATACACGCACTCTTGGCTCCTTCAACCAATAGGAATACCAAAAATGCAGATGCGCCTAGTCTTTAAGACCGCGTGTAGCGTGAGCGTGACACCACCGCAGTGAAAGCTTCTAATTCTGGTCACCGGATTTCACTATACAGGGTGGATAAAAAACCGAAACCGAGATATTATTGCTAATTGGAATAGAAGTAGGGCACATGTGAATCAAAGGGAGATATCCTCTGTTAGGGTTGAATCTCCTCTTTAAAATGACACCCTGGTCATGTCATTATATTCACGATTGACTGAGCAGTGACCAATTTTATGAAAGGGTCTATTTAATAGAGAATTGTGCCACTTTTTAAATGTGGTTTTTGTTGTGTCAGTTGTCACAGAGTGAAAGGCTATGGTTGCCAATCAAGGCAGGTGGGGAAAAAAAGAGATTTCACCATGCAAAGTGGCGAAAGTCTCTTAATGGACCCTTTCATAAAATTGGTTACTGCTCAGTCAACCGTGAATGTAATGACATGACCAGGGTGTAATTTTAAAGGGGAGATTCAACCCTAACAGAGGACATCTCCCTTTGATTCACATGTGCCCTACTTCTGTTCCAATTAGCAATAATGTTTCAGTTTTTTTATCCACCCTGTAGTATCTGCAGCTAATCCTGCTTTGAAACGCAGACAAATAGCTCATCTGTTCAGCAATTCGTCCGCTTACAATCAAATCATACACGATTAAGCAACGTAACTTATCAGAAAAGAGGGTGGAATCGACAATTTACGTCTTGCATTTCACACTGACATGTAGCGTGCGATATATCCGTATGCCATTCACACACCTAGCGGATAGCGAGTTGCGTGTGACGTCACAAGTCCACAAACGCAGATGACGTACATACACGCAAACTGTATCAGTTTGCTTGCAAAACCTCGCTATTAAACTTGCCCTCACCAGAGATGTTGCAAGTATTTGTGTGCATGTCTTTAACCCACAACTACTAATGAACCACTAATCTAAACAAATATTTGTAGAGGTGCAGTTGTTTTTGTTTGGAGTTTGGTTGTAATTATGTTTGATCAAGGTTTTTTGTACTTATGCACCAAGTGTGTTTGCAACAGACAGACTGCATTTTGCTTCATTTACATTGTGGCCACATTTCGCTCCTGATGAGCCTGTATGAAGCATGGAGGCTGACTAACGTACAAGTTGCTTGCCGTGGAGTTTAATTTCATTTCTTTGAAAGTTCTGTTCTTGAAACGTGGAACTTGGGCAGTTTTGGGCGCTACAGGGAGTAATAGGCAGAGCATTTTTGGGCGCTACAGGGAGTAATAGACAGGGCGGTTTTGGGCACTGCAGGGAGTAAAAAACATGGCAGTTTTGGGGAGGGAGTAATAGACAGGGTGGTTTTGGGCGCTACAGGGAGTAATAGGCAGGACAGTTTTGGGCACTGCAGGAAGTAATAGCCAGGGCAGTTTTTGGCATAACGAGGAGTAAAACACAGGGTGGTTTGGGCACTGCAGGGAGTAAAAAAACGACAGTTTTGGGCGCTACAGGGAGTAATAGGGTTGTTTTGGGCGCTACAGGGAGTAATAGGCAGGACAGTTTTTGGCAGTACAAGGAGTAATTAGGCAGGGCGGTTTTCGGCGGTACAGGGAGTAATTAGGCAGGGTGGTTTTGGGCACTACAGGGAGTAGCAGGCAGGATGGTTTTGGGCCGCTACAGTGAGTAATAGGCAGGGAGGTTTTGGGCAGTACAAGGAGTAATAGGCAGAGCGGTTTTGGGCGCTACAGGGAGTAACAGGCAGGGTGGTTTGGGGCATTACAGGGAGTAGCAGGCAGGGTGGTTTAGGGCACTACAGGGAGTAATAGGCAGGTTGGTTTTGGGTGGTACAGGGAGTAATAGGCAGGGCTGTTTTGGGCCGCTACAGGGAGTGCTAGGCAGGGTGGTTTTGGGCACCACAGGGAGTACTGTAATAGGCAGGGCTGTTTTGGGGCGCTACAGGGAGTACTAGGCAGGGCAGTTTTGGACACTACAGGGAGTAATAGGAAGGGTGGTTTTGGGCGCCACAGGGAGTAATAGGTGCGTTGGTTTTAGGCGCTACAGGGGAGTAATACGTTGTAAGTAGGGCGGTTTTGGGCGAGTAAAAGACAGGGAGTAAAAGACAGGGTGGTTTTGGGGCGGTACAGGGACTAATGGGGTATGCGTTGTGGAAATATAACAGTTGTGTGCGATAGAGTGTCCAACCCAATGGCGTCAGCCTTTACATTTTCATGTACATATACATGTATGTCCAACAATAGTCTCCACCACAATGATGAAGAAGCAACGAAAAACACTAGAAAACGGTCGGGCCATATTCTTTTAAATTAGTCTTAAGTTAAACATCCTTTCAGTTGGAGCTGCACCCTATACCTGTACCCCACACATGTACCCCACACTGCACTCTCCTTCCCATCAACCCCTGCACTTCCTCTTTTCCCCTATACCCTTTTAAACATTTTGCACATGTCGTAGTTGCATGCATGTATGAATGAAGTTGAACACACATTGTTTGTGCTAAATTCTTCCCATGTTTTAGAAATGAAGACTGGTAAAGCGCTTTTTGTACAAAAATACAGTACCCAAAGCTGATTCAAACTCCTTTCTTTTTTTTTTACTTTAATTTGCTGGAATTGATTAAAGTTGATTATAAATTTGGTTATATAAACTCTGTATGGTTTGTTTAAAGATTTCTCATCTTGTTGAATCCTGTGTTTTTTAATTTTTTATTTTTAAAACTTTTTCTGATTATTATTTGCGTAATCACTAATAATGACGCTTTGCATGTTTGCTGCCTGATACACAGGGGTCATGAAACTAACAACTTTTCTGAGCTTGAGAACCAGTACGAACATGGCAAAAAGTGAGTACCTTTTTTTTCTTTTTCTATTGTTACGTTGTTTTCGTTTTTGGGGGTTAATTCTGTTTTTTTGGTACAACTCTACCTTATCTGAGATTTTCTCTGATACACTGTTGACTAATACCATGGACTATTTGCATGGTATATTTGGTTGTTTTTTGGTGATGATTTTTTTTACTTATTTCTTATCCATGATCAAACTAATTGTATTAGATGCGCAAAGATGCACTTTTTTTTTAGTGTCAGCGTCACCTTTTGCTTATACCATTACGAAAGTCTCATTTTCATTGTAAGAAAGACTTTTGTTTGCTTTCTCGTTGCATTTCATTTTTACCTTATGATTTTCCTCAAAACAAAAATCAAAGAAAAAGCTAAAGTAAGGAATGAATGTTTTACATTGATAAGCAAATTTGCATAAAATATTAACAAAATAGGACAGAGATCCAGAGAATGGATTATATTTATAAAAACAATGAAAAGACATAATGAACTTTAATACATATTCATAAAGACCTAAGACAGTTTACCCATTCCTATTGGTCGAGAGCCCAAACGTGGCCGGTCTTAAACGGTTGATAAAACACCAGCTGGCTGGTCTTTAAACACTTTTCCAACGTCACATGAAATTTGGACTCCTACGAAATCTGGTCCCTTTTACCCTTTTGGTGCTTGAACGCTCACAATCCTCGCTTAGGCATGCGCAATGCTACCAATGAGTCCGTATTTCATAGTCCTAAATTCACACTACACTGGCACAGCTGCGTTCTGCGCCACATTGCGCAGTAATATACTTGTCGAACAAAATTGTTGGAAGTATATAATTTTTGACTTGTTTTGACTGTTGGACCGAAAAGGTATTTATGAATGGGAATAAATATGTGCTTTATAATGACCCTCGCCCAGCATCCAGACTCCAAACCGGTCTTAAACATAGAGTTTAAAACTGGCCAAGCACTTATTTATTTCCTTATGCAACTTTAATAACCAGCAGTAGCAGACAGAGTGTCAAATTTCTGCTTTATCACTCTACAAAACTTTGGCTCGGTACATCCACATTTGGTTGGCTGAAAACAAAAATGTCTGACTATTGTTCCACCCTCTGTAGATCCTACACAAACAAAATCGAATTGAAGTCTCACACAAACTTTCCAGCAAGATACATGTCCAAGAATATCTGATAACATTGTTGAAAACAAAAACCCTGTGCTTGGCTGAGACGATGGTCTTGATTTCACAAGTTTTTTTTTTAATATTGCATTGTGTATGTGATAGCTTCCCTGTTAAGGTTTGATCACTCTTCCGTTCTGAAACTCAAGCGGCCTGTTCAAATTGCATGGACAAGATTTTTAGCCTCCCGAACATGCACCAATCCCCCACCCGTTATGAAAAAAATACACACAAAGTAGTTTCCCTGGGTCTACACAAGTATTAGGAAAACACTTAGCCAAACTAGTAGAATTCTCCTCTTGTGATCTTCACACAGTATAGAAGCCAGTGGGTTATTCACATAGCGAGCAAGGACATGATGTCGATATACATACATGTACATGTAGGAATAGAATCATATGTCCTCCTGGTCCCATTTATTGTGTAATGCACATTAAAGAACCCAGCAACACTAGCTAAGAGAAGGGGTTTGCCCCGGGTGTTTCTGGCAGTGGCTGCTTAATGCGCCGCAGCACCTTGTCAACCTGTACAAGTTGCTACAAAATGGGTCTCATATTTCTCATAAACTTCATTTACCCGTCTTTAAAAATAGACATAATTACCAGCGCTTTGAGTGCCTAATTGTTGGTACCGGTAGATACGTGCGCTATATAAGACTCCGGTATTAGTATTATTTTTACACGTCGTAACTTGGGTTGACCCAGGAAAGCTACTCAGACGCTTACCCTGTTCCTGATTAAATTGAGCTTGCTTACCAGTCAAAAGACTTTTTGTGTTTGAGCCTCCACCCCTTTACTCCAATACCAAGGTTCTGCAATGGTGCCTGGTTTGTTCTGTTCATTTTATTTGCATCGGTTCACACAATTTTTTCTTTCTTTCTGTGGCTGTTTTGTGCTTATGTTTTTTGCCTTGCCTGTTTCACCTTGCTCTTCCCGTACCAGATCGGAGAGACTGGCGGCAGGGAATGGAAACAACGATGGGCCCCCCAGGTAAAAGAACAGCATTAGACACAATAATTCAGCAAAAGGGGTATTCAAGTCCCAGATTAAGGCTGTGTGCGGAATGTACCGAATTTTCAAATGAGTGATCATCAACCGAAAATTAAAATAGCCTTTTTTTTATTCATACATTCGACAAAAATCTGAGCATTCTCGAGGAGATGATAGAAAATGTCCTCGATGTTATTTTAAATCGGCGTTTCCCAATGCAGTGCGCCACCAAGAGTTTGCCGCGGAAAATTCATTTTCCCCAGTGCATTGTGGGAGTTGGTCGACAAATTTGCAGCGCGGGACTTTTGAAATTGTTGGTTTTGTCCAGTCAGTAGTTTCGTAAGCGTATAATTCGAGTTGGCGTTTGCCCTTTTCTTATCTTTTTATGAATATGATGTTTTTGTAAGACAACAGAACGCTACCGGTATGCCCCAGTCTATATAAATTAGCTTGTTGTCTTCTGACACTCATTCAAATGGCTGTGTTTTGTCAATCATAAAGTTGACAAATGGACTCTCCATGGCAACTTCTTGGTGGCGCACTGCATTGTGAATTGCCAAAATTGTATAAGTTGTGCGGTTTTATTGTTTGTCAAATGCCACACGTTTATTGAAAGCCACTTTCGCGCATGATGTGATGAGAGCTTCCATTGAGAAATACTTGCTCCTATTTCCTATAAAATCAGTCAAATATCAGCTATTCCCCTTCTTGTTCCTTGTATTCTTTTAAAAAGCTCTTTATCCATTCTTGACAAGCGCAGGCACATGCAAATCCCAATTAGTAGCCAGTGTAGGCTGGCACATGTCGGGCATCAGATTGCTCAGACTTTTGCCTGAAATCAGACTTTCTCAATCTGAGAGAAAGACATACCAATTACCAGTATAGAAAGATATGCATCTTTCAGACCTTTCATCCAATTTTCAGATATTTTTTTCAAACTTAATCAGCGCATTTCCAATATTGGAATAAGAATACTTTTGGCCTGGATTGTTTATATCATTCCGTGTTCCACTCCTGTTCCTATTCTCATTTTTCCCGTTCTTTTTTCTATTGTTTTGTCGTCAATGCTTTTCCCGCACAAAACACCATTTCCCAATCCATTCCTGTGCCATTCCCAATGCCCCTTCCCATTCCTGTCCGTCCTCTTTTCCCGGTCTTCCCTTTTTTTCCCCTCACTCCAGTAGACCAGTCTTCCTATTCCGATCCATTCTCAAAATTCCCAATACTAAGACAGAGAATAGAAAGAAAAACAAAACAATGTGACACATGGAAAATGAATGCAGTAAAACTTTATTTTTGAAATTTGTGAGGCATTTTGGCAAAATGAGACACAACTGGGGTTAGTACCGGTAGGAGAGAGAATAGGGAGGTTTCGCAAGCGAACGGATACGCTTACACTTACGCTTAGCTATCCGTATCCGTTTTTTTTCTTACGTGTAACGAGCGAGATATGCGTGTCGTCTGCACGTTTAGCGGATAGTGAGTGGCGTATGACGTCATACGTGCAGACGACACGCATATCTCGCTCGCTACACGTAAGTAAAAAACGGATACGGATAGCTAAACGTAAGTGTAAGCGTATCCGTTCGCTTGCGAAACCTCCCTAATAACGTTCTCCTTACAATACCATTTGTTGCACTTCAATCGGACATTCCGTTGACAAGTTATGGCTGTTTCAAGTTTGCATTTATCGACATGTCAAACAAGTAAAATACTGAGAAAAAGGCCTTTATGTTTCGACTGTCGTGAAAGATGCCATTGGTTTTTCCTTAACAAGACATATATTCCACACATTTTTATACATTTTCGTTAAAATATGTGTAGTCAACATATTGAAGATTACATGTACATGTACATGCTTGTCAGTAAATCTGAGAAAAAAAAAATCAATCAATTTGGTTTTTTGCATTTTTCTTTACTACAGCCTGTGCCAGAATAGTCAAGGGTCTATGATAATGTGGGCAGATTCGGTGATTAATTATGCAAAAAAAGACTGCGTCTTGACCTCGAGATTCTGACCATTCAGCGGGCGCTTTCTATAGCAGGTCTACCCGTTGTCGTGTCATAGACATCTGTAAAGTAAAACCTAGACACGACATCTATTATTCTTTTACGCTGTGAATTGAGCAAACAAAGCCTGCAGTCACACGCTCTGTATTACGTTACGCGACGCGCAAAGCTTAGAGCCAATGTCTATGCCCGGCCCGGCCGTTGTTTTACAAAAACACTGCATCCGAATTGACCAATCAAAAACTGCGTCCAGATTTCGGAATGACTCCGATTGGCTGGCGTGCTGTGTTTCATAAATTTGCCAGAGTGCCAGAATGCCTCATGTGATTCTTTGTTTTCTTATTGCATTCAACCCAGCTTTTGTGTGTTAATGTAATATTATTATTTCCCCCCCCCCCTTTTTTTTTGCCCAGGAAAACATTGCCACAGACTGAGGAGGGTCCACCCCTACCACCAAAGGTTAGTTCATGAATATTCATTTCAAAAGGGTTTTATTTCACAGCTTGCTGAAGAAAAACAATTTTAAAAATTTAAACTTTTCATTGTCTGGAAATTTACAATAGGCTGCAAATGTAAACAGCGATTGAAAAAATGACTTATATTTGTATTGGCAGAATGTTTGGAAAGCTTTTTTCAAGTTAACAATTTTTGAGGCTGTAAATACTGTAATTTCGGGATTTCCTCTACTTCTTAATAATTAAATTGCAAATAATATTTTGGCTCCATACACATTTTGTATATGGCTCATTCTATAAATGTAGGGCCCAAAGTGTGACAATTTCCTGTCCCTGTTACCTTGGTACCTTGTAACTTGCCATTCAAGTACCCTGTCTCATTAAGAATGACTTCAAACACTTTTATATTTGTTGGGTTGGTAGTTTGCTATTCATAATCACTCTTGGAGGGTGACTGCATTAAGGAGTGCATCAGAATTATAAAATCGAAGATGTCAGATGTAACAGGGACAGGGAAACAAAGTGGACCCCAAATTTATACAATGGCAGACTTCTGAGACGTTTGTGACAGCAAACACACCGGTCCTTTTCAGTTGCTTACGTCATGTTTAAGCTGAAGCGCATGCTCAATATGACGCAAACAGTGGAAAAGGGACCAGTGTGTTTGCTGCCACCAACGTCTCAAAAGTCTCCCATTACCGATACCTCAAATGATCTTCCAAAAATGTCCACGCCTGCTTTCATTTCTGAAGCTATTCTTACTTTGTGCGGAAGTGAATGCAAAGCAAACTTCAATTGTAGTTTTATTGTGACGTTCGCCGTTTCCCTATTCAGTTCGCACTATTATGAATTGGCGTTGAGGTACGGTATCTTTACTTTCTGTAGGAGTTAGAAGTTGGGGAGTGTGTGGCCTAGTGGTTAGGGTTCGTGACTCATGATCAGAGGGTCCGGGGTTCGAATCCAGCCGCTGGTCATATATTGTGTCCTTGGGCAAGGCACTTCACCCCACTTGCCCCTCTCCACCCAGGAGTATAAATGGGTACCGGCATTAGCTGGGGAGTAACCTGCGATGGACTAGCATCCCATCCAGGGGGAGTAGAAATATTCTCAGTTGTTTCATGCCACTGAAACCGGAGATAAACGCCGGCCTGATGAGCCACATTGGCACGGGACAGACTTTACTTACTTAGGAGTTAGAAGTAACCGGCAAGCCTCGTTGTTTTCCTTTGCAGCAGAAATCAGTCCATTTCGGGAACAGCAACTCAGTCTCCGCCTCCTCGACCCCTTCCTCCTCGGCTCGGATCAAGCCCCCCGTCGCCCCCCGCCCTTCCAACGGGAGGGCGCCCACCACAAACGGGGAAAACATGGACCTAGACTCAGAGCCCCCCAAGGTACCGCCACGTCGGGCTCGCGGCATCGGCTATGAGTTCATTGACCATGAAAAGGCAGACCACGGCCACGGTCTGCCGCCGACACCCAAAGTCCCGGTAAGTAGGCCAGGGATGGAAGCCCTCCTGCTAGTACCTGATTTCAGGCAGCTAGCTATAATTTGGGAATCTCTGTGTGTCTGTGTGTCTGTGTGAGTATGTTAATTCTTGTTCCGTAATTGTGGGGACTTACACTCGTCTGTGCAAGGTATTTGTGGGGACCGAAAATGATATGGGGACAGCAGAAAGTCCCCATAACTCGGTCCTAATTTTCCTAACAATAAAAAACTTCTCCATAACGCGGTGTATGCCTACCTGTAAACACCGGCAATCGTGGACTAGGGACAAAAAGGTTAGGGCACAAACAAAGGGTCCACGATCGACAGATAGTCCACGATTGAAATTCGTGTACAAAACCAATGAAAGCTGTTGCTTACCATAATTCGAGGAATCTCTTTGTGTCTGTCCACATGTAAAAAAAATGTGATTTCAACCTGTGAGTGTGTGATCAACCTGTGAAAACAACACCATTGAATCCTGTGCGTTGTTTGCATGAGCAGTTCTCAAAAACGCTGCAAGCAACCAATACCAGCGGCCAAGCAATTTGGCCCTTCCGAACAGGCACATTTTCAGCGAGCACTGCACTAGTTTTTCAAACTGTAAATAACACATTGGCACCAAAAGTGTGTGTGTACTGTACCTTTATACCTCAGATTTCGGTCAAAAATGTCAGCGCCCTAGTAGGATAAAGCCTAGTAGGGTAAATTGATTGTTGTGTCAATTCATATTCCCGGACACGTTCCGGGAAAATGTTCATTAGCAAGTGCTTGACTCACCAATACTGCTAGCTTCATTGCGGGAAGTTTTCAGGGAAGTTCAGACTACTGCAGCTTCTATCCGATACAATGCCTGGAACTTGTCTGCGATTTGTCTGGGATAGGAATTGCGACGGGCCCTTACACATTTTGGGTTCAATTAAAATATATAACCACTTTGTCAAAATGGAATTCCTTTCAAGGGAAAAACAATTTGAAGTGAAAAACTTGAAAGGTTCCACGCAGTCGCAAGGAGCACACACGTGCTGCTGGCTAGAAACGTAATGACGCCTGTTGGCAAGCTGCAAAAAAAAAATGAGCGCACATAAAAAGTTCAATCAGCTGTTTAGTTTAGTGTAGTGAAATTGTATAACGCAAGGGAACTGCTAATAATCATGTACGCGCAGGCCTAATTGAAATAGGCCCGAGACCTAATGACATCACGCTTTGTTAACATGTGCGCTTTCCTATGTGGTAGACGGTCTCTACTTCGTCTGGCGTCCTGACTTCGCTTCCGTTCCTGACTTCGAAAGCGAAAGCACATATGTAAACAAAGCCATTAGGTCTTAGGTCAATTGAGGCTTGATTTTCCCACTGGGTTTTTTGTTGTTCTGGTGACTGATTGTGTTTTTTATTTGTATTTTTTTCTGTACAGATGGGGGCCTGTTTCTCCAAAGTGTTCAATGAGTGCCCGCTCATTGTCTACAACTCAACCAGCTGGATTCACCCAGAGACGAAAGGTGATTGAATCAGTCTTGTAGATCTCCAGACCTGGTCTCGGTCTCGAGAGACCGTCTCCAGACCTTTTTTGCGGTCTCGGTCTCGTCCTATCAGAGTCTCGGTCTCGGGAGGGCTGGTCTCGGTCTTGAAAGCACTAGTCTCAGTCTCGGATGCCAAGGTCTTGGGTTTTACCCTGGAGACCTGTCGAGACCGCAACAAAATGCGCCGTGTACATATGGCTTTATTCATTTGCAAGCTGAACTACATGTATGTACGGGCGTAGTCTTTATTCCAAACAAAACGACATTGTAAGTTAAGTTTTCATGATAAAGAATGAGATTGAAGCTGAAACATAAGTTTTGTATGTCTCCTCTATCCACTTTTGTTTTTTTTCTACTTGTGAACTCTTTGTGTTCGTTGGCCCTTGTTCACTTCCACAGATCAGTACATAATCTTTGCCTGTGAAGAGGGCATCTACACATTCAACTTGAATCAGATTCACGAGGGAGTCATGGACCAGGTAAGGAGAGAGAGCTTTGCAATTCACAATGCAGTGCGCCACCAAGAGTTTGCCAAGGAGAGTTAATATTTCCCAGTGCATTGTGGGAGACAGTCGGCAAATTCGCAGCACGGCACATTTGAGATTGTTAGTTTTTCCGGTCAGTAGTTTTGTAAGCGTATGATTCGAGTTTATGTTTGCCCTTTTCTTTTCTTTTTATCAATATGGTGTTTTTGTAAGGCGGCAGAACCCTATGCCCCAATCTATAACAAATTAGCTCAAGTTGTCTATTGACACTCGTTCAAATGGGCCATGCTTTGTCGACCGGAAACATGAAATGTGGAGTCTCTGTGGCAAACTTTTGGTGGCACATGGCATTGTGAATCGCCCACGTTTTTAGAGGATAAATTGAACTCTTTGAGTCTGAGTTCAAGGAGTTATCTACAACACAGTGAAGCTTAACGCAGGGGAGGGGAGGGACTATTTGAAAGAGAATTGTGTGGAAAAATGTTAAAGTATCTTTTTATTAAAGGTAGAGTATGTCATTTGTCATTTGTGCAATATTTTTTTGGAAGCAACAAAAGTGCTCAAGATCTCAAGAAGGGTGCTGAACAACTAACCTGATGAAATTTTAGCTTAGCTTCAGCTGTGTATTCCGAGAAAACAATATTCTAGGATCTCGATTTCATTACACAAGTTGCCGAGTCATGTTTGGAATTGTGCCCGAAATCAGAATCCGGGCACGTTCTCATTCAGCTGATTGCAGCTACGCGATGGTGCGCACTGAACTGACAAATTATAGGAACCGCAGGTGGGCGTAAGCGGCACCCATTCACGGATACGCCAAATTGAAAACGAACTGCTTATGGAAATTTCCACTAATGCATCTTTGGAAATGACCTTCTTTTATTGTTTTCTTAAAAATGACAGCATGTCAGAAAGAATAATTTCACAAGGAGTTTAGTACCGTTACCATCTTTAAACCAAGTATGTTTTTCAACAATAATTTGGTCGGTTACTTTTTGGATAGCTGCAAGTGATCTACTCTACCATTGAATTGGCTAAAATGTATAAACTATGTATGGATTTCATTTCTCTTTTTTTTATTCTAGATTTTCCCAAGAAGAACAACATATGTCTATGTTGTCAACAATGTTATGATGTCATTAACAGGTTAGTGTTAATCGTATCTGTAATTCAGTTTCTAGTTCATTAAATGTAATTCCATTTAATTGATGTCCTGTTCCGTTATTCTTTATATTTCCTTCATTGTCCTAAGGCCCACTGTTGCAATTGTTTTGATAGTCAAATGCCTATTCTGAACATTGCGTTGGTGGTGTTTTGGGGTAGTCATATAGAAAAGCCTGTATCCTTATTCAAAAAAATTGTGTCTCAAAAGACATTTAATCCCCTATTTAAGTTTAAATTTTTACCCAATGACTGCCACAAATTTATTTCATAAATGTTCATCTTTGTACGAGTGCTTCCAGTTCCACTAGTCCACATGCGTTTTCGATTTTCGGAAGTGAGAGGTCAACTTTTGGCACGATATTTCTTTTTCACGTCGCGCGATTTTTCAGTTTCCATAAATTGAGATGCTAGCAACAATTTTACAAAGGCCTTTTCTGAGGGTGAGTTTCTGAAGAAATCAATGTACCAAAAAAAAAGAATTTAAAAACTCTGACTTTTACAAGATAAATGTCCTATTCGAGGGGTCCGGAAGCGTGCCACCAGGCGTCAACTTTAACCCTAACGATCCCCAACCAGCCAAACTCTTAACACCAGGGTTTGTTGGAATCTGTCAGGATGAGTACTGCACTAGTAAACTGACTGTGCTTTACATGGGATTAGGCATACCACAAATAAACAGAGTCCAACTGTTTATGTGCACTGTTTTTTTCCATATGGTGTTGGGATTTGCAAGGATGAGGAGGTTTCTAGTAAAGGGTTAAGAGTACATGGAGTACTGTGGCCTCGTGGTTTAGGGCACTGATTCGTGGTCTGTGGGTAAAGCTGCGGGTTGTGGGTTCGAGTCCAGCCGGGGTCATGGTGCGTGTGCCCATGGACAAGGCACTTTGTCACTCATTGCTTCTCTCCACCCAGGAGTAAATGGGTACCTGTGAGGGCAGAGATGGTTATTGTGATTGAATTAGCTTCCTTGCGCCTAACAGGCTGCATCGAGCTGTATACTCCCCAGGGAGCTGAGATGGTATTTGGAATGTTTTATGTGCCCAATGAGCAGGGGTAATAATGATGTAGCGCCTTGAGCACCAGTCCTGGTGGATACGTGCGCTTTATAAATATCCATTATTATTATTAAGACTCTATTGCACTCATCCACATTATTAATTTTCTTAATTCCATCCTTGCTCAGGAAAGACCCCGAGTCTGTACCAGCACAACCTCCTAGCACTAATCGACAAGAACTTTCACCGCTTCCATATACCCAGTAAGCTGGGTGACCGGCTGCAGCGCATCCCAGACAGACTGGTCCCGAGAAAGTTTGCCGTCAGCCACAAAGTTCCCGACACCAAGGGCTGCACACGCTGCTGCATAGGTAAGACAATGATCATAAATTATACAACACCTGAATAAATCCCCGTCATCTGATTGGTGGATCGTTGATCACATGTCATTGAATTATTCGCACGGTGCGCGCGTGGCGCGCAGCGCACAGTACAATGGAAGTTCTATTGCACGGTGAATAGAACTTCCATTGCACGGTGTCACTGCTGCTGGTGGTGGCCCTGTTTTAAATCGAGATAAATTGAATATCATTGTTCTCAACCTGTCGAACAGTTTGCATAAATATAAATATGATGAACTTGTCGAACTTTTAAACAGATTTTAACCTGAATAAATTGCCTATTAAAAGTCAACCAATCAGATGACAAGGATTTATTCAGGTGTTATATAAAACAAATAATGAATGTTTTACATTCGTGCAATGGAAAGAATAATTTCATTCAGTGACAGATGAAATGTTCCATTCCACTCGGCATTGCACTCACAAACATTCATTATTTGTATACCAGTTCGCGCTGGAGGCCGTGTATACACGCAAAAGGTTTTGCGGTATTCGGAACGGATGACGGATAAACATGCAGGGAGCGGGGCCGGAAATATCTGTCAGCGACCCGCTCGCAGCGAGCGAGGCCGGAAATATGAGTGTGCTGCCCGAGGGTGATGGCTTCAACCCGCCTGGCTTGAGGCCGAGTGAAAATAAATCCCGCCCCTCGTTATGTTTTCGTCAAAATAATCCCGGCGCGAACTGGTAAATAGTACTTCGCGAGATAAAGCCCTTTCATAAACCCTCTCAATACAGCATTACCCAACCTTAGAAACCAGGAGTGCGTTTCAACAAGCTTGCATGTTACAGGGGTGTGAAATCTCAGCTTTAAAGCTGATTTCAGCTATTTTCTAGTTTTGGATTCAGCTTTTTTCAGCTTTTTCCCTCACTTGCTGTGTACAAAAGTATAGGAGATTTCCAAAGTTCAGCTTTTTTATACCTTTTTTCAGATGTTTTCAGCTATTTTTATCAGTGGTCACTCGCACCCCTGATGTTAGTATGTTTTGCCGCCCGTACATCATCCATATACCCACTGAAAGAGTGCTTTTGGATCGTTCTAAGGGTGTGGGTCATTCGTATGGTTACCATTACAAAATTTTGAGAAAACTGTTTTGAGGTACATTCAGGCACAGTTTCAGGCACCAAATATTTCTTTTGATAAATGAAACAAGGTCAAAAATGGCCATTTCTTGCTTCTGGTTTTTTTTGTCCACGTGGTCTTGATTTTACATCACATGCAAAGTCACGATGCCAGCAACATTAGCAATGCTGCAAACCTGGGAAATGTACATGTAACACACGGTGATCATTCTTCAAATCAACCAGGAATGGACGCCGACTAGGTGCATAATATGAAATTGAACAAAGAAATTGACTGGAGCGGGGTTTGAACCTGCGACCTCTGGTTTTTACGTTCCGGTGCTCTACCAACTGCGCTATCCAGTCCTATGTTGGTGGTTCACCATTTTGTCAATGCCCTTGTTCAAGGGGTGCTAGTCAGAAACCATAAACCTGCACATATCGTCAAATAAACCAGAAAGGGAAACGGGTGCGTGTGTGTAATGAAAATAAACACAGGGCTGTGATAGCTCAGTTGGTAGAGCACTGATGTAGTATTTCAGAGGGCGCAGGTTCAAAGCCTGAAGGGTCAATTTCTTTCTTCAACTTTACAAGAATTTTAACCCTCCTGCTATTTTAAACAGTCACAGACAGTCAAAATGTCCATCCACTTCCCCTGCTATTCTTGCAACACAGGCTAGTCACCAGCAGTCAGATCATATGTCAAGTAAGCACTGTTGCTAGTCAAACTCACTTTGTTGAGCCCAGAACACATTGTGTCTCTTTTGCTGATAGATCAGTCTCTGTATACGGCCCCAGAATCTGAACAAACTTCCAGAATACATTAGAGATACCACCTCACTGCATACATTCAAACCACTCTTGAAAGCTCACTTGTTTCAGGAAGTGCACCATCAATAATTTTTCTTCTTTTTGGTGCCCCATCAGCGCCTTAGAGCAAACTTTTTGATTTTGGCGCTTAATTAATTTCTTTTGATTGATTGATCAGTCAATAGACCACGAACAGACAAACGCAGGCAAGTTGTGGGCACAGCTGGCTTATTAATTACCCACAGTCAAACCAAGCTGTATCGAGTTAACATAAGTAGTCACAGTCAAACCTGCTTTATGTAGGCTGGGAGTTCTAAATTGTTGAAAACAGTCCCTTGATTGATTGTGACTGCAAGGACAACTTGGCACAGAATGTATGTTTGCATAGGAGGCTTAATCTGAACAATTATAAGAAGTTTGCGGGTTTTTTTCTCTTTCAGCTCGCAATCCGTATGATAGTCACAAGTACCTGTGTGGGGCTCTCCCAAATGCAATCGTTCTCCTCCAGTGGTATGAGCCCATGAACAAATTCCTACTGGTCAAGGTAAGAGAAGTATTACCAATAAAAGATAAACATCGTGACTTATTGCTTTAAATAAACACTGCAACCTCCAAAGGTTACATTTACATGTATTTAGAGCACTACTAAGCTCAGAGGCTCCTGCTGATTCCAACTGTCCGTTTATTTTTTCACATATTTATTTGTTGTTCGTGTGCAGGTGTTTGACTGCCCTCTTCCCCCAGAGATCAAAGTCTTTGAGATGCTCATCAAAGCGGATGCTGAGTATCCTGTAGTCTGCGTCGGAGTCGCAAGAGGGTTGGTGTTTCTTCTTACTATTATTATTATTTTCAGGGTGGTTTGATCTTATTGAGTTGTCTACAGTCATTAACCCTCCTGCTATTTAAGCAGTCAGGGACAGTCAAAATTCACTTCCACTTCCCCTGCTATACTTTTAACAAAGGCTGGTCACCAGCAGTCAGATCATATGTCAAGCAAGCACTGTGACTAGTCAAACTGGGTCAACAGACAAAGCAGGCAAGTTGCGGTCACAGCTGTTTTATCACTCAGCTGGAGTCAAAGCATCCTGTAGCTGTATTAATCAGTCCAAGGCAGTCAATCCTGCTTTCTGTGGTGATTTGGTGGTTTTGTTTTTGATCTTTGCAAACGGTTGTATATTACCTTAAAAAAAGATTTGAATTCAACAATTGAATAAGCCTCTGTTTGATTATGTCACACTTTGTGTGCTTTCCTATGGTGCTCAGTGGACCGTGGGCCCCCACTGGCTCCATAGGAAAGTGCACATGTAAACAAAGTGTAATGTCATCAGTACAAAGGCTTATTGAGGAAGGAACGTCTGTGACAGATAGTAACTTTCACCATCATGAACTGTGGTGTCTTTTTTTTTCTCTCCAGAGTTGATAGGAAACATCTCTCCTTTGACATCATCAACTTAAACACGGCGTCCAGCTGGTTTGTGGGCCACCCTCCTGAGGACAAACTCCTAGACATCGTCACCATCTATCAGCTGGAGAAGGACACAGTGCTGGTCTGTTTTGACAGTAAGTCTAGTAGTATGTGAAGCGATCAGGCTAACTCCAAAACCAGGATTTGATGCGGTGACGGGCTTGAGTCTGATCACATTGGCATCGTGTACACTGCATCCCCACGTGAAAAGACGGAAGTTCTATGGGCAGTAATTACTCATGAAAAATATTTAACGCTTCTTTGTGACTGTTTTGGCAACATGGATTGGCCAAACAAAAGTTTGAGATAAACGGAGGTACCAGTGCAGGCATGTCGAGTTACAAGGGTGTTCATGTACATAACATCCTATTCTTTTGACAAGAATGGAGTATTACGTCGAGATAAATGGCTTTTTGAGTTATCCGAATTTGACTTCACAGGAGTTTACTGTATATGTGATGCGATCAAGCTACATGGGCCGTTTGTCGGGAATTTTTTATTTGGAGATACAGGCCAAAATAGGGCCACTTCAACACATCACTTCATCACATCTCTTGGTGTTCCGACTTCCATAATTTTTAAATAAAAGATGGTATCAAGATGTATTGTTCACAGCAGTAATGCTGAGATTGTGCTCTTTTCAAATCTGTAATAAAAAATTTGTCGACCGGGGTCGACAAAGGACTCATTTAGCTTGATCGCACCACATATATTGAGTGTCTTCACTTGTGATGCAGTCAACCTAGCCTCCCAATTGGTTTCGTATTCCGCCATTGAGAAATTAGAAACGTTCAATGAATCACGTCATACTGCGCGCACACTAATACTAGCGCCCATTGGATGAACACTCAAGTTGCGTTAACTTCCGGGTCCAGTGGTTCCAATGCTACTTAATGTGCAGTGGGCGTGGTTTCGACTGAAGTGACGTCACACTAACGAACTGGATATATTATCTGTAATGTCATTTGTGGAAACTGCTCTTTTGAAGGTAGGAGACGTACATGTACAAATCATGTCAGATTGTATTCTTTTTTTTTCACCAACCTTCATTGCAGGGGAGGTCAAGTTAGTCAAGCTGGACGGCACGCCCAAGTCCAACCGCAAGCTGTCAGCAGAGCTACACTTTGACTTTGTGGTGGAGGATCTAGTGGTTCTACCGGACAGCGTCTTGGCATTCCACAGACATGGCATGCAAGGCCGTAGCTTCAAGTCCAACGAGGTATGTTGATGGGCGGTCAGCCTCATTTTCATGAGCTACGGAGTCAGGTTGGTGTAGCGGTACCTTTCCCGCCTTCCACCGCTGTGACCCGAGTTCGAAACCCACCTGGGCCAATATGTGGATTGGTTTCGGTCCCTACCTGATTCCGTGGGTTTTCCTCAGCATATTCTTCTGGGGTTTTCCTCCCACCTCTGAAAACTGTAATTGCTTCTCATCGTCTTCCTTTAGAGGTTTCTTCAGGCTTGCGAGCTATCTGGGGCGCTTTTGAGGAATCCTTGGTTTCATTACCAGAAATATTCAATTGTAGTAAATTAATAATAAAAATAATAATTACGTTTAATAGGTCATTTGGGAGACATTCCTATAGATTTGTGCAAATTTTTTTCCCCCAACTTTAACGACCCCTAACCCCAATTTTACCTTATCCAACCCCCACAAATTGTGGTATATTTATGTGTTTTGGACCACAAGCAATTGATCTAGCTTATTTGCGACTGTAAAATTTTGCCTCTAAATTGGAGCTGTGACATTAGGGAGACCTTGAAACGCCTCCCTAATATCTGGCGTCTCCTTAAAGGGAAAATACAACATTTGCAAACATCAAAATATAAAACTACCAAGTTTTTACGAAATACCTTACTAGGATGTTGGTAAATGACAGTCTGAAGCATTCTGTAAAATTATGGCACCTGGTGTGAAGTCATTTTCAAGAAAATGGTATTTTTGTATACATTTCCAACGGTGGTCAGCCGACCACCGTTGGAAAAACCTAACTATTTTTCAACTACTGCTTCATATTTACCATTTGTTTCAGTCCAAATTTTGTTTGCTATTGGTTACATGTTCATGAACGGGTGCAGGCCAGCTAGACTTGTTCCCTATACCTTACAATTTTCCGGCATCTATAAATTACTCCATTTCATTTTTAGTGGAGTCAGGGAACCAGACTACTTGAACATTTTTGTTTTTCTTGGTTTTTCAAGCATTTTCGGACACAAAACTTCAAACATGTCAGTGTAACAATATTTTGTTCTATTATACTACCCCTCAACTAGTTCATTTCTGAAAATTACAGCGAAAGCCAATGATGTGCATTCCCTTTAAAGGTATAATTTCTGACGACAAAATGTCTCCATTATAGGTACCATTAATAGGTGTATAGCTTCATTTACGTAATGAAAATGAATTTTCACTGAAATAATGACACAATTGTGTTCTGTTATTTGGGAGAATTGCTCCTATAGCAGAGCAGAAGTATAAGTCAGTATGCATAGACTAATCTGGCAATCACAGTTAGAAGCAATTTTTGAGGTGGCACCATGTTCTCGCTCATGTCGCCTTAAAGTCGAGGCGCGTGTGCATTTCGGTAACCCTGTGGTACTACCCGAGCGCAACTCGTGCGAGCCTGATGCCACCCAAGACTCAGACCTGGAGTGCTGAAACATGCAAAACTAAATCAAGCCAACTTTACTCACCCTTTTGCCAGCAAATTTCTCCAAAATTTTCATTGGGCAAAGAAAAGGTCCTCAGTATTTCACCAACCAAGTTTGCAGACTCAATTTAATTTGTAAAGGAGACATTTCTTCAATATTTTTGCGCATGAGAGGGAAGTCGAGTGATTTCTAAATGAGGCTAAAGACTAGCCTGGTACATGTCCAACCATGGTCCGACTATTTGAAAAGACTGACCTCTTCATTCAGTGTCATTAGTCTGGAGGCTGACTATGGAGAAATGTGTAGTGAAAAGAGACTAGTTCCCGGTTCATGCCAGGTTTCTGTTGGCACAGTTGATTGATGCAGTGCTGAAGCGGTGTTGGACTGGTTGTTTCAGGTGCCAGTCTGTTTTCCTGCATTGCATGTTTTCAGTACCTTAAGTTTTGAGACTCTCATACACAGTATTGAGAGTCCCAAATTTTCAGACTAGTGCCACCCCAGAAAGTGGCTGTCGCCCGATTAGTCACCATTACTGAATGAGTTGTTCCCTTTTTTGTTTTTTTTGTCGGTACCTTAGGTTACCCAAGAGATCTGCGACAAGAGCAAGTTGTTCACATTACTAGGCACCGACAGGATGATCGTGCTCAAGAGTCACCCGACAGACAACCCCAACACGCCGAGTAACATCTACATGCTGACCGGCCACACGAACACCATGTGAGGCTCCCAATGTAATGGGGGAGACCTACCAGGAGGGACATTCAACCACAGTGCCAATTGCGCCTGACGCTCTAGCGAAAACGCTATGGATTTACGCACATCTAAAATCAAATTCATCACGCGTACTTCGCACATGTGGTGTGTCCCTCCCACTGCGGCTCGAAATAAGTGGCCAAACAGCGCCCTCTAAGACCATGCACGGAGTCCATAGGTTTTGAAACTGACGGGAAAAAAATATCTCTTGCACCTGCAAATCTCAAGGGCCGCTATGTTTATCGGAAAAAAACAAATTGAACGAATTCAACTTTTGGAAAACAGAATTCAGCTTTTGGGAAAAACCCTTCACCGTGTGCACAAAAAGAGAAGGGAAAAAATCGGAAAAGTAAGTTATTTCTGTTAATAACATTTTCAGTTTCAAGTGTTATGTATAGCTTTATGCGGTTTGGTTTACTTAAAAGTTCTGCTGCGGAATGGTTTGTCGGGACACTCGTTTTCAGTTCTTTTCAGCGAACATCCACCATACAACATACATTTTCTGTTGGTCAATACTTCCCCGACCATCTGCACACTGGTTTTAGCAGTATCAACGGTCACATTCAGTGATTTCAGAAATTTCCTTCAAATTTCTTCACACACATGGTGTAAATTTGTATAACTAAGACATCTTGATTACAAAAGTCTTCGACAAGGTTTTTCTTGGGCATTTTCTTCTTTGCTTTTTTGTGTGTGTGTGTGGGGAGGGGGTGGGGTGCTTGGGCTAGGGTCCGTTGTTGTCTGCTCTTCATCGGGGGTTGTCAGAATTGCGTTAGACCTTCACAATAACATGCAGTGAGTTTTTTTTATGGCTTGATGGTAATTATTCTAACGTTGCAAATATGCGCAGCCTCAATAACGATTCTCAGGATGCAATTTCATTCATTTTGACTGACGAGTCACGACCTAAAAATAAGATAAGAACATTTTTGTACAAAGTATTTCAACCTATCCTTTTCTCTCAGGCAAACAATTTCAGCGTGTATGTTTGTTCTTGTGATCTGTTATTGGATTTGTTTTCTTTGGTTTAAATTGACAAACTAAGAAGTTGTTGAGAAATTGAGTGACTGTTCCCTACAATCTGCAGACAGTAATTGTTTGGGGAATCGGTCCGAACTGTCTCCACGAATATTTACTTTTAAGTACGGTTCATAACCATTGTACATGGATATAAACACCTATTGAAAGCTGCTGCATGTGGTTTTTTTTATATATATATTTCCCTGGATTTTGATTATTTCGTTTGGATCCAGAAAGTCAAAACACAGAGTTTTGTGCAGCACTGATACAGAACTGCAAATTGTATATTAATTGTAGATATGTAGACAACTGAGTTTGAAAAAAAATCATTTTTGAAAAGAGAACTAAATAAAAAAAAAAAAATGCAAAAAAAAATCTAAAACTTGTCAGGCCAAACCAGTCTGCACTCGGAGCAAAACTTTCTACCGTACTAGTCTGTTATTAACAAAATTAAAAAAAATAGAAATTGGCCTGTTTTTTTAATGCGTACTACATTGACGATTGTTCCATATATCTGTATAAAAAGGTATATATACACACTGTAAGCATGAATGTAGGAATTGTGATTATTGTACAGTAGGCGATTTTGTTTTTCTGTTACATCCGTAGATAGAAGCGCCCTCTGTTGGTGCTGTGTGGGTCATCAATCAAGATTTATTTATTTGTTATGGCCAACGCTTCAAAAATGTATTGGGAGGAATGAGAAATGTAGTACATTGTACCAGTAGCCGTATAGTGTTGGGCTAGGGTGAAATATATTTCTCAAATATGATGGGGTATTATTTTTTTTTTTTTAATTACAACACCCTGCCCTGTTTATTTATCATGGAACTTGAGCTTACGACATTTGTCTAAGGCTTTTATGTACAGTGGAATGTCGCTATACCGAACACCGCTACACCGAACATTTGACTGTACCGAACATCGTCCTTGGCTCCCAATTTTTGTGTACAAAACGTACCAAACATTGTTAATGAAAAATGTCAACAGAAGAGCGACAAGTGGCTATTATTAGTTCCCCAAGGAATAGAAGGGGAAAGCCACCCATTGCTGTAGGTAGTAAGCTCAAAACTTTGTAATTACATAATACAATAGTCGGTAGTCGGCACGTGTTCAAAGTCGTCTTTCAGTAACTACCAGGGCGTGCAGGGTGAAGTTCTGAAGGGCGATATGTTATTGAAAAGTGAGTACCGGAGCACTGACAGCTTAAAATCGCTGTACCAAACGATCGCTATTACGAACAATTTCTGTGGATCCCGGTGTGTTCGTTAAAGCGCATTCCACTGCATTTTCTTTTAATACTCGGGTACCCCATCGGTAGAGATCGGCTGGTAATATCTGAAAATTCACTCTGAGTACTCACTACTGATTTCATAAGTTATGATTGTCTAGTAGGTCAGAGCACACAGTTCATGTGTTCTTGTGAAGGTGCCACAGTGCTCTAAGCAAAGTATAAAAACTGCCGTTGATGATTTGCACAAGTGGCAAGTTTGAGAAATTTGAAGGTGCACACAAGAAACTTTAATGAACAAGCGTCAGTGAGTTTCACAACTGTTGATTTATTTGAAAGACCTTGAATTTTTAGTAAAAGGGGTCATCTCAATAGACTGGTCCATTCAGCCCCGCCCACTGCGCAAATGAGCAACAACACGTGTGCCTCTCCAATTCTACACTAGTGTTCCAGTCAAGCGCTTCATACACACGTGCGCGTCACCACAAGGTTCTTCGTGATAACATCCAGGGCATCACTAAACCAGCCATTAAAACCCTCCCTCGCTGCCTGACAACAACTTTATTTACGCCATCACAGCAGCCAAAATCAATCAAGTGACTGTTTTTAACAAGTTAAGAATTCCCTTGTTGATTTGATGTAGCCATACTTTGACTGGAGGTGATTGATATGCCAGCTGTACCTACCAGTTACCACTCTGTTGATGGAATATGACTAGTCACAGTGTTTACGTGTATGTTGCTCGACTGAATTTTACAAGTCTGTCGTACAAAATTGTCGGGTGCACCACAAAGTGACATATTGTCTATGGACTTTGTGCACACGATACGTCAGTTCGTGGTGCGACCGACGAAATGTATGGTGGGGAAGAGGAAGGAGTTTGTGTCTGTCTGTGACTAATCAAACAGAAGGAGGGTTTTAATTCATGGCTGTGATTGGTTAGAACGTCATGGGGCGTGGCCTAATAGATCAGTCAATTATAAACCAAGAAAAATTGAGAACATTTCCTGAAAAGGTTTCTCCATTTTTTTTCTCTTCATTGCTTTGGGAAATTTGGAAGGGTAATTTTCGTGACTGCTTGACTGAACAGAATCAAAAAAAAAAAAATATCCAGACCAGGATAGAATGGGTTATAAGTGGTTTCTGTTTAAGATGACTCCATAATAAAAGTCCTTTAAAAAAAAAGGTGTGAACCGGCCAGTGGACTTGTCTGTATAAAAATGAACTGTCCTCATAGACAGAAGATGTACATGTAATGTAGTTCAGCAAGGTAAAACCATAATATGTATTTGAATAGGCTTCAATCAAATAATACATGTATGCCTTCCTGTCCCGTTTCCTGCGAAGCCACTGTTTTGCCGATGAACTTATTTGTTAATACTCCCATGTGTATTACGTTTCCTGTCAACTTTTGAGGCCATTTTTTATATTAACTTTTTATTATTATTTCTTTCACAACATGACGTATTTATGAATTAATATTAACTTCTTGCATTCAGCAAAAAAAAAAGATAATAATTCACGAGTGAATGAAGATTGGCTCAGGTTTTCATTCATTCTGAAAGCATTTGATACCACGTATATATATTATAAATTTGTACATTATGCATCTATAATGAAGTCTATTGTTAATTAAACTTAATTTTCATTTTCTCTACACTTGATTTCTGGCAACCAAAATTAATTAGTTTACAGAAACTATGTTGCACTTGTTGAATAAAATACCAGAGGAAAATCAATATTTTGTGGGTGTCACTCTGTGCATGAGTTTATATTGTGACAATACGTTGGTTCGAACCCTGATGGGGAACATGGTGCTTGTGTTCTTGGGCAAGACACTTTACCACAATTGTCTCTTCACCCAGGAGTATAAATGGGTACCTGTGAAGGTAGAGACCAGGTTGCGCTGATCTTGAGCTGCTGCAGAATCTGGTCTCATGGCCTGATGTACAGGGGTAATAACTGAAGCTTGTTACAACTGATAATGTAATACATGTAACTAATGGAGAACTTATCACTAACCGATAACGTAACAACAATTGACCGATAGTGTGTCACTGACCGATAATGTAACAACAATTGACCAATAGTGTAGTAAAATGTACTACACTATCAGTCAATTGTTGTTACATTATCGGTCAGTGATACACTATCGGTCAATTGTTACATTATCGGTCAGTGATACACTATCGGTCAATTGTTACATTATCGGTCAGTGATACACTATCGGTCAATTGTTACATTATCGGTCAGTGATACACTTGTTACATTATCGGTCAGTGATATACTATTGGTCAATTGTTGTTACATTATCGGTTAGTGATACACTATCAGTCAATTGTTGTTACATTATCGGTCAGTGATACACTATCGGTCAATTGTTACATTATCGGTCAGTGATACACTATCGGTCAATTGTTACATTATCGGTCAGTGATACACTATCGGTCAATTGTTACATTATCGGTCAGTGATACACTTGTTACATTATCGGTCAGTGATATACTATTGGTCAATTGTTGTTACATTATCGGTTAGTGATACACTATCAGTCAATTGTTGTTACATTATCGGTCAGTGATACACTATCGGTCAATTGTTGTTACATTATCGGTCAGTGATACACTATCGGTCAATTGTTGTTACATTATCGGTCAGTGATACACTATCGGTCAATTGTTACATTATCGGTCAGTGATACACTATCGGTCAATTGTTACATTATTGGTCAGTGATACACTATCGGTCAATTGTTACATTATCGGTCAGTGATACACTATCGGTCAATTGTTGTTACATTATCGGTCAGTGATACACTATCTGTCAATTGTTGTTACATCATCTGTCAGTGATACACTATCGGCCAATTGTTACATTATCGGTCAGTGATACACTATCGGTCAATTGTTACATTATCGGTTAGTGATACACTATCAGTCAATTGTTACATTATTGGTCAGTGATACACTATCAGTCAATTGTTACATTATCGGTCAGTGATACACTATCGGTCAATTGTTACATTATCGGTCAGTGATACACTATCGGTCAATTGTTACATTATCGGTTAGTGATACACTATCAGTCAATTGTTACATTATTGGTCAGTGTTACACTATCGGTCAATTGTTACATTATCAGTCAGTGATATACTATCGGTCAATTGTTACATTATCAGTCAGTGATACACTATCAGTCAATTGTTACATTATCGGTCAGTGATACACTATCAGTCAATTGTTACATTATCGGTCAGTGATACACTATCAGTCAATTGTTACATTATCGGTCAGTGATACACTATCGGTCAATTGTTACATTATCGGTCAGTGATACACTATCGGTCAATTGTTACATTATCGGTCAGTGATACACTATCAGTCAATTGTTGTTACGTTATCGGTCAGTGATACACTATTGGTCAATTGTTGTTACATTATCGGTCAGTGATACAATATCAGTCAATTGTTGTTACATTATCGGTCAGTGATACACCGTCAGTCAATTGTTACATTATCGGTCAGTGATACACTATCAGTCAATTGTTACATTATCGGTCAGTGATACACTATCGGTCAATTGTTGTTACATTATCGGTCAGTGATACACCGTCAGTCAATTGTTACATTATCGGTCAGTGATACACTATCAGTCAATTGTTACATTATCGGTCAGTGATACACTATCGGTCAATTGTTGTTACATTATCGGTCAGTGATACACCGTCAGTCAATTGTTACATTATCGGTCAGTGATACACTATCAGTCAATTGTTGTTACATTATCGGTCAGTGATACACTATCGGTCAATTGTTACATTATTGGTCAATGATACACTATCGGTCAATTGTTGTTACATTATCGGTCAGTGATACACTATCAGTCAATTGTTACATTATCGGTCAGTGATACACTATCAGTCAATTGTTACATTATCGGTCAGTGATACACTATCGGTCAATTGTTGTTACATTATCGGTCAGTGATACACCGTCAGTCAATTGTTACATTATCGGTCAGTGATACACTATCAGTCAATTGTTACATTATCGGTCAGTGATACACTATCGGTCAATTGTTGTTACATTATCGGTCAGTGATACACCGTCAGTCAATTGTTACATTATCGGTCAGTGATACACTATCAGTCAATTGTTGTTACATTATCGGTCAGTGATACACTATCGGTCAATTGTTACATTATTGGTCAATGATACACTATCGGTCAATTGTTGTTACATTATCGGTCAGTGATACACTATCAGTCAATTGTTACATTATCGGTCAGTGATACACTATCAGTCAATTGTTACATTATCGGTCAGTGATACACTATCGGTCAATTGTTGTTACATTATCGGTCAGTGATACACCGTCAGTCAATTGTTACATTATCGGTCAGTGATACACTATCAGTCAATTGTTGTTACATTATCGGTCAGTGATACACCGTCAGTCAATTGTTACATTATCGGTCAGTGATACACTATCAGTCAATTGTTGTTACATTATCGGTCAGTGATACACTGTCAGTCAATTGTAACATTATCGGTTGGTCGTATATTATCCGTTGGTTATTAGATATCAGTTGTAACAAATATTGCAAAAAAGCGCTATATATAAAGCACAACATTATTATTAAAATAAATAACACCATGGAATCATCTTCTGATCTAATTAAATTTTCTGCAATATTTATTTCAAGACTACATTTTATGTTTCTTTGTACAATACATGCAACTCGTCCAATCAATCAAAATAAACTACAATTATGAAACAATTTTATTTTAATCATGATACTGGTATTTATAGTCTTTCGAGAAAGAAAGAGAGAAAAACGAAACGAAACACCACACACGCATACATGAAAAGCACTCAGAAGGCAAGTTCAGAAGATGGGTCATGTTGAAACACATCCCTTATCATTCAAGACATAATTTAAATTAAGTACAGCATTTTTCCCCACACATGTCTGTCCAGTGCATGTTGAGGTTGCATACTCCAACATCATACCTCAATTTTTTTGTTAATTCTGGACAAAAAACTTTGTGGAGAATACAGAGAACCTAGATTTATAGCATGAAGTCATTTTAACAAGCTTAAGTTCACATACAAGATAAGCTACGACACAACGATGTTTTCTTGAAAACTCAACGGAAAGTGATCAAGTTTGGACAAGAATGCAAGGTGAAAGAAAACAGAGTAGGATTTTTTTTTTTTACAACAATGTACAGTAATGAGGACAAAAGTGAACAGAAATTCAAAAAAAAAATACTAACAAATTAGGTTTTCTTGTACAGTAAACCCATGAAATAACTAGTAAGGGTCCATCTCAGGACAAGTTCCGGACAAGTTCTGACACTGTATCGGGTGTAAGTTGCAGGATTCTAAACAACTTCCCCACAGACTTCCCGCAATGAAGCTATCAGTATTGGTCAGTCAAGCAGGCGCTGACGAAAATTTCCTCGGAATATGTCTGGGAAAAATGCAGAGCTTTTTTTACAAAGTGAATGATTCTTTCAGCAATTTGTCCAGAACCCGGATGTTAATTGAGACGAGCCCTAAAACCAAGTAAAGTTTGACTATAATACCTCAAAAAAATACCTGAACTAAAATGGAAAAAACCCTCCATCATTGAATTCTACTGAAATGTGATGACTCTACATAAATAATCAACACAAGGTATTTGATTTACTAAAATTATAAATATTTGTGTATTTATATCATTTATGCAAATCACACACCATATTTTTTTTTATAGGTCTGTGTTTTGCTGTTGTCACAAAAGTTCACTATGTAAGTGCAAGGCTAGACAAAAAAGAAAAATAAACATTTTTTTTTTAATCATACAGGATCAGGTTTAGGAATTTTATACAAGGAAAAATAAACGGCAGATTTCGGGCCAAGTAATTCAAACAACTGGTGATGGCAAATTTGTCAATCCCTTTTGAAAACTGAGTATTATCTCGTGTTTTGTGGAACAGCGAAAAAGAGCAGTCAACAGTGTTACTGTCATCTTTAAGGAAATTAAGGTCACGTTAAAACTTCTTTTTTTTGAGGGGGTGGGATCTTTGCAAAACAATTCAAAACACCCATCAGAATTTAGAAAAACACTGGTCTCCGTCGAAATAATAATGACAGATGATGACTCGAGAACAGGCTTGTCCCTTTGAACGGAAAACTTGAAACTAATCATGTACAAAGTGAACCAGAGAAAAAAAAAATAGTTTGCCTTCTTCGTGCAAATTTGTACATGTAGCCACATATCAATATTAATGAATTACAAGTAACACTGGCGGCTCACTCTGTGCAAAAGCGAATGCAAATTTTGTGATGTCACAGAAAGTATTCACACTTCAAATTTGCAAACAAATGTCAACGCCAGCATTTTTTTTTAACGTGACTGCTTCTTGGTACGTTCCCCATATGAGAAGGTACATGTACATGTATACCCTGACCCTAACCCCCGATGATTAATGATAAAGAGGAAAGCTTTTGTGAAAAAGTTGTCCTTAAACCGTGAGACCAGGGCCCAATTTCACGGCTCTGCTAACCACAGAATTTCATGCTTACGATCACCATTTTGTGCTAACCGTGCTAGCAGAAAAACTCTGTGCTGTAAACCGTGTAAGCATAGAAGTCAAAATTCCATACTAACACGTGAAATACGTTTACCGTAAGTACAGAATTTTCTGCTATAGTAAGCAGGGATTTTTTCGCTAACGGTACGCACAGCCAAGAAATTGGGCCCAGGTGACTTGTGTCAGACTTGTGAGGACTTCAACTCAACTTTGTTTTGCTGACAATTAAACAAAACAGTACTTCCCTTTCGGCAATAAACCTACACATGTAGCACATGTTATGTGTACGTGTACATATACATTGTATGCACAGATATCTACAGCAAAGTACTGTTAGTATTTCTTGCTACAAAAAACTGTTGGTGGGCCCTATAGAACTGTATTGCTTTGGTTTAGGCATGTATCTTGTTAGGAGTAACAGCCAGATTAGCTAAATAAAGTATGGCTTGTAACCCTGCCACTTTGCAAATATTGTTAAGCAATTTTCAATATTAAACATGATCCCATCTCTAAAAAATACAAGTTACTTAACAAAAAAAATCCTCTCACCTTTTATAAACTATTTTATTGGCTCCTGTAATGATAAGCTTTTTGAATACACAACATTTACATCTTATTACAGAGAGTACCACAAAGACAAAAAGAGAGTATGTACAGTTTTTATATATTTGGCATATTGGTTTTGTTGTTTTTTCTCCATTATGTGCAAATGGCCAGGCCGGGAGCCACGTTTCCTCAAAGACAATTTAACTGTGCGAATCCTTATATGACAAGACATAAGTACATAGTGACGTTCTTCACTAACAAAATAATGAGAATTAAAGTAATTACAGTAATTGACCGGCATGTGTGTTTTATGCCTCAATTTGCTGTGCTCATCTCATGCGAACATCTGGTATGTTTAGTACACTCACAAATCGGTGTGAGGCTTAACCCCTACTCCCCAAGCAATTTGCTGCTCTTGTGGCTTGCCATCATTTACAGCATATCGCAGCACAAATATACATGTACTAGCACATTTATGGTGTAAATCGAGGATTTTCTTTTGTTCCTCTTCCCTTTTCCTTTTTTGTACCTTAACTTTTTCGCGACAGCACTCATTGGTTTTGTACATGTTTTTCAACCGAGGAGTCCTTGATTCGGTTTCTGTCCTCGATTCACCGATGATGTTGCACGTGTGTGTCCTAGCTTTACACCATAAACAAGCGCAGTGCATACATGTACCAAGACAGAGAATATATTTCTGAGCTAGAGTGGTGAGCACATAACTGTTGTAACATCAATTACTTTGTAAACTCAAGGAACACATCCATCCAATAAAAACTATATGAATATCCACAACGGGAAAGTTACACAGTAACAAGTTTACTGTCAAATAAGAATCTGCACAGTCAATAAACATGTTTAGAGGAAACCAATTTATTCATTTGAGACAAAAAAGACACAAACACACAAGTAGGGAAAGCAGATCGGGGAGGGATGTTGCTTAAATATTCGAAATTTTTGTTGTTTTTGGTAAATAACTTTGGAAACACTCACTATTAAATCTATTTAATATACTTCTGGAAAAATGTAAGAACAACTTGGAGTGTTTGATGATCAGCTATTATACAAGTTTTGTATGCAATGGAATTTCTCTGCCAAAATATTCACAACTTCCAAGGTAAGATGGCAAAGATCCTATCAATTTTTCATTTTCTTATAAACTCAAAACAAGACTTCCAACAAATTAGAAGAACAGCGTCGGAATACCGTGGTAATTCTTGATTTAGAAACACTCGCTTTCATACTGATGACACTGGCTTCATTTTTTTCTCTGCTAGTCATCTGAAATTATTTGTTTATAATATTTGTTATTCCTCGAAATAATCTTGAAGCTCTTGCTAGGCTTGAACTAAGTACTTTAGGTGCAATGGAAAAACGTGCTTAAAATCTTATTCTTTTTTGAAGGTGAAACCGTGCAAAATCATGATTTTACAAGAAAATTTAAAACATGAGTTGCCTTTATTTTTATTGTTTTGTTTTGAGGACTTTTTGTAATGAAATCAAAAGTTAAACTCCAACATTGATTTTCATTTTGGTTCATTGCTCTGCTGATCTGGGGTTTTTTTTAGGGTCAAAATAATCTGGATTGAATGAAATGGGAAGGAAAAAAATGATCTGAATGGCTGAGGGTAGATGTGCAGACAAAGCAAACATTTCTTGTCACCTTTTAAATTGCTTGCTTGCTACTACCCCATCTAACTTTGGCAGTGAGGCCCTGGAGGCGCGGGCCTGTCGCCGTGACTCCTTGTCGTCAGCTCTACTCTCCAATCCACCGGAGTTGTCCGATCCGGCAGTGGGCAAGGTACCTCTCTCCTCCGGTAGCTGAATGGTAGAGGCCGGGGAGTAGCTACGGTCGCTGCGGCTGTCCAAACGCCTCACCGTCTCATTGCTCATCTTCTTCAAGAGTTTAGAGTTGGAGGAGAAGTCGTTGGGCGAGTCTGAACCCCGATCACTTCGGCTGTCCTTCCGGAGGTGATCGGCGAGGAGGTGATTGGATAGTTGTGCCGGGATTGCATCCCCCTGGGGATTGTGATGGTGATGGTGATGGTGGTGGTGGGGATTGGGATGGGGGTAGTGGCGGTGTTGCGGGGAGTCCGAAGGGGTAGGCTGGTGGGCGTCAGGATTCTTGAGATGGCCTGCCTTTCCCGGATGCTTATCTTTTGACCAGACTGGCGACTCGGCGCAGAGTTTTGGAGGTCGCTTGTCCCGCTGGGGGTAGGAGGACTCACTCAGATTGTCCTTGACGAGGGGCTGGGCTGGGTTGCCCCGCTCGGGGACCCAGTTGGGAGCCCTCTTCTGCTGGGGGATTGGGGGAGGGTTGGGTGGGGGCAGCGGCGCAGCGAGCGCCGCCGCGGGGCCCTGGCCTGACCACACGTTTCAGAAGTTGGAGATGTTAGGCAGGTGCCGGTAATCGGGCTTCTCCGCCTTGTGCTTGTCGGACTTGTGCTTGTCCAGCTTGTGCTTGTCCGTCTTGTCCTTGGTGGTGACTTTGGCCTCGGCCGGGGAGGCCGCCAGCGTCGCGTTCATGGTGCTGTTGCTGTTGGTCAGCTGGGGCAGGTTGTAAAAGTGATTCTGTGGACACAGGAGAGAAACAAAACCCTCTTAAAAACTCAATCACAAATTGACCATGATCCTCTTTCCAGAGTGAGGTAAATGTGTGGTAATGGATAAGGACCTTAATCTAAAACTGAAGAATTGCATGAAGAACTGCATGAAGAAGTATGACAGCCAAGAAAAACACCAACGGTGCGAAGAACATCAAAACCAAGACCTTCTCAGTTCTTGTGCTATGCAGTTTACCCAACAAGAGCAAAGACAGGCTTTCAAGAGCAGGATAGAGGTTACCGTGCACATTAAAAAGCAACTTAAAACACATTTATTCACAATTTATATAACTGACATACAGATCCATGACATTTGATTGGTGGAACTCACATCAAGTGACATTCACTATTGCTCCAATTCAAGCCGGGGCTCTAAAAATCCCATCACCCATGGCGAAAGGGATGTACTATTCAACAGTTGGGATCATCCTTGTTCCATGGTGCGGTATTTGTGTGCAAATGCATGCTGGTGTGCGCGTTGAGCGTTGCGCATACACGTAGCACGTATTGTTCCCAAGAGCCAGTAGCTACAGAGTTGGGTTCAAACATTTCAAGAAGGGGTGGTTTGAAAGAGAGAGCTAGCCAATTTATACTCCTGGGTGGGGAAAAGCAGTGAGTGACTATAAAGTGCCTTGCCCAAGGGCATACGCACGATAACCCCAGGCTGGATTCCAACCCACAACCTGCAGAATTACCTACAGACCAAGAATTCAATGCTCCAGACCATGAAGCCCAGCACTCCTTAGTTATGGGATGTATGCATGTGCCGAAGTTCCCACTAACCTATATTTTCGGGTACAGTAAGTGGGGATGTTTCCTTTACCCTAACCACCCTGAATCCTCCAAAATCCTCTTTGCTAAAGTGGAGGAATTTGGAGGATTGAGGTTACATGGCAAAAGTGCGTCAGCGATTTTGTAGGATGCACTTTGTCAAGGTATTGGGCCGGACCTCGTGTTGTTTTTGCTCCTGAAGCCATGCATAAATATAGGCCCGGATTATGCTTGAAATCCTCCGTACTGCTCCAGGATGTCACTGGCCAAGCCTCAACATATTGAGTCACTGCCGTAGGATTTTGCAGGATTCAGGCAGTGGTAACCCCTCCAAGGACCATATCCAAGAAATAATGGAGGAATTGAGGATTGAGGCCATTAGGATTGAGGCTATATTTTTCCATGAGGCCAATTGGAGGATTTTGCAGGATTGAGGCTACATCCTAGCAAAAAGGCCTAGGGAGTTAGGGTTTTAATGGTAAGCAGAGCCATGAAATTGGGCAGAGCTGATTGTTTGAAGCACGGTACAGAGCTGCGACGTCACAGAAACAGCAGAGACGAAACACAAGATGAAAGGACCGGCACACGACAGGGGTCAGCAGTCTATGAGAAGACATGATTGTTACCTGCGGCTGATGAGGCGGTGGTGGTGGTGGAGGTGGAGGCGGTGGGTTACGATTGTACCATCTATGATGCTGATAATGTGTACATGAATGTACGGTGTGGGTGAAGAGAGATGGGCATGGGTTGATGAGCAAATGGTTGTTAGTAGGCATGGCAAGGTTAGGTATTACGATGAGTTGGATTAAGTGGAGTTACATGTTAAAATTAGAAGTGAGAGAGAATCATAGAGCTATATTAAATTACTACTACTAATAATAATAATAACCGTATTTATATAGCGCCTTTTCCAAAGGATACAAAGCGCTGGGGAGAATGCAGCAAAAGACAGGTAATGAAGTATATGAACATATGAGACCCATTATGTAGCACCTTTTTTTGCTAGGTGCTGCGGCGCATATTGCTGCCACTGCCAGAAACACCGGGGCAAACCCCTTCTCTTAGCGACAAGTGTTACTGGGCTCTTTAACGTGCATTACACAACACACGGGACCTACGGCTTTACGTCCCATCCGAAGGACGAAGCAATAATGGTAAAGTGCCTTGCTCAAGAGCACCAGCACCATGTTCCCACGGTCAGGATTCGAACCCATGTACCACGGCACACGAGTCGAACACTGTAACCATTGGACCAGGGCGCTAACTCCTCATTCTTGCGCGCGGAGATGCTTTGAGCCATCCAGGGCGCAGTCATTTTGAATTCATGTGCGTGTTTGTAGAACATAATGAAATTAGAATGATTGAAATTTGAAAGTATACTGTAAATGCAATGCGCAAGTAGAAGGTACACAAACATAAGCGCGTCATGCCGGTTCAAAAAAGGTCACGGCAAAAATCATCTGCAGCGGATACGCGCACGCATTGCGCTGTTTGAGTAGGGCAAAATTTAACACTCGTTTGCTGGTCGTGCATTTCGGTTTTGGTCTTTCGGCTTCGATAACGCACCTGTATAGAATACAAACGCAGATATGCAAATAGACATACAAAAGACGTACACAATTTCTAGTTCTCCATAGGTTTGTGCACAAACATGGATGCGCCCAGCAGGCATCACTTTGTACATGAGTCAGCGCTCTTGTAATTTAATATAGCTCTATGGAGAGAACACATGTACAGGTGTATGTGGAAGTGGTAAAGATAGGTCTATAACAAATACATGTACTTCGAACATAGGTCTCTCTCAAATGACATCATTTCCTACAGACCAGCCACGTGCATCAGCATTTTGAGCGTCAACTTGCATAAAGCACATCAGCACCGTCATATTTCATACACATTTTGAGCAACATTGGCACGTGTTTGGAGCATTTTCAACACTGCACAATGTGTGCCTGATTGCATAAAATACGCAGTTGCAGTTCTCCTACAGAGATGGCCATCTTTGAGAGAGACCTATTTGATTATCAACCGAATATTCGATTATCAACCAAATATCGGAATTACATTCTTTATAATAATAATAATAATAATAATAATTTGGGAGGCTAATCATCCTTACTCGCAGCTGGTATGCTGAATTGCGAAGGACGCGGCTACAATGTGGTCGGGCCGCTGGCACGTAAAGGTGCCTATGGCTGCCGGCCACATCGACCCATATATGACCACGGAGCACAGCCCGAGATCGAAAGTGTTTGATTTTTCCGGAGGGAGGAAAACCGGAGGGCCCGGAGAAAAACCCTCGTGACACAGGAGAGAACCAACGCACAACTCTACTCGCATGCGATCCGCGGCCAGGATTCGAACCGTGGTCACCTTGGTGAGAGGCGAGCGCTTTACGCACAAGCCACCCATGCCACCCAAACAAACATTCACCATGCCATTCAAACATTCAAAAAATGTGAACATTCTCAAGTATGACAAACGTTAAAGTTGTGTGGTTGTAATGTTTGTCAAATGCCACACTTTTGCTGAAAGCCATTATCACGCAGGATTTGAAGACTTCCATGAGGAATATTTGCTCAAATTTCTTCTTCTAGAAATTTGGCAATTTAAGTTGAAAGCATCGACAATGTAGTTCCTTAATGAAAGATAAGGGGTTAGTACATATAGGGTTGTGAGTTATCCAGATACAAATGTGATGAAAAGATTGACCAAGGAGGGTGACCACTGATCTCTATATAAAGACTGGATAGCGTACAGAGACCACAGAAGAAATCCATCTGAAGCCATGTTGGGGAGACCGGCTGGTGTTCCCTAAAGGACAAGTTGCAGTCTGAGGTAGTTGTGATCGTGGTTCATCTGTTTTACAATTTTTCCACCACCATCACTAGCCAAGGGTCAATGTTTTAAAAACGTGGTTCACATTTTGAATGCCGCAGTTCACTTTTTGCAACATTCGGAATTATAATCACGAAGGAAATTTGTCCTATATAACATCATAATACGTGTACATGATCAAAATGTGCATCAAGTCTTGATAGTCTTGATACATGTACAAATGCACGTCGCAGAACGTTCGTATATCAGTGGCCATTTTTGGAAGATCAGGGGCAAACCGTTCAAATGCAAATTCAACTATGTGACTGGTTTATGGGCATCCGCTATGCAATCTGTATAGAGATCAGTGGTTGTGACGGGGACGTCAAATAAAAAAAAAAAGGTTAGTGAAATATGTGAGTTTACTCAGACTGTTAAGGTTGTGATGTTATGAAGAGATGTAAATCAGGACGTGTAACAAATGTTGCATGAGAATGCTTACCCTGGATCGGCCCTGTGCTCGCTGCCCATAGCGCCCTCTAGCGACGCGCTCTGCCTTCTCCTTTTCTCGTTCCTCGCCGGGGACGTGCACAAAGTCCTGCACCAGTAGCTGTTCGCAGGTCATCCGGGCTTGCGGGTCCATCTTCAAACAGGCCTGAATTGAAATTGAAAAAGTTAGCGGGACTGACGTCTCCACCCTGACAGTATGATTCTCAAATGCAAAATCAGACCTGAATTCAAAGGCACGTAGCATCATCTGCTATTCAGGCAGTTTGTTCTGTCCAATAACACACCACCAAAATCCAAAGAAGAATGTTCAAAACCTAACCTGTTTCAGCTTAGCGGATATTACCCTTTTCGAGAAAACAGTGAAAACCACGCACAACCTTTTGATCACGAAACACAATTTCGTCAACGGTACTCTTTATTTCCAAAAATTAGTCAATTGACTGATCGTTGGAAATCACCTACATTTCTCGATTTCTTCTCAATGACAGCAAGCCAGACGGAATAATTTCAAGGGGCGCTTAGTACCAGTATGATCTTTAATCCAAGTAAGCTTTTTGATAATAATGCTGCTTCTGTATATAGCAGCATCAATATAGTACCAGTGATTGTTGGAGGCTTTTGAAGGATTGAGGCATCTTAACCTCAGACCCCTCCGTGCACTGAATAAGTGAAGAATTTTGGAGGATGATTTTTTTACACGGAAACAGTTGAAGGATTTTGAAGGACTGAGGATGCATCCCAGCAAAAAGGCCTAGGGGTTAGGGTTAAGATGCTTGTAATTGCCAATAGACACTGATGTACATAGCTGTAAAATTACGCATATTTTTAAAAACTTTCATATTTTCTGGTACTAACCTTCAGGAATTTCAAAGCATCAGGAAGGTCATGAAACTTCAAGTCCAAAGGTTCCTGAAAAAGAGTGAATAAAATGAACACCCATTAGTAAAGCAGGGCTTATAATAATGAGACGGGAATAGAGGATGGGGTCCTTCATAGAGAGTTGAGTCTCGTCCATTTTGAATAGTCAAACCATCAAACTAGATTAACCCTCCCTCTCTGGCTGGCAATGTCAACAAGGCCAGTCCAGCAGTCAAAATAAATCAGGTGACTGATTTGAACAGTTGAGTGCTTCCTGCCTTCATAAAGCAGGATTGACTGGATGTGATGGTTATGAAACCTTATATAGCTACGCTTTGACTGTAGGAGATTGATAAGCCAGCTGTGCCTACCAGTCACCTGCTTTTGTCTGTTGATGGAATTTGACTAGTCACAGTGCCTACAAGAAATATGATCTGACTGTTGGTGACTAGCCTGTGAAAAAGGCATGGCAGGGGAACAGGATTGAATTTTTGACTGTCTGTGACAGATCAAACAAAAGGAGGGTTCAAAACATTTCAATTTTCCTTTCCTTTTTTGTGTCAATTTGGTACATCCGCTGCCAGTACGCCACACAAATAACCCACAATTTTATTTTATATCCAGACCAGTAAAATCTGGCAAAAGAAAGGAGGCCTTGAATGGCCCCCAAACATTCAAAAAAATGAAGGTCTGGAATTTCACTTTTGGGAGGAGCAAGGCCATTTCTTTCCCCAGATAAGGATACCTAAGGTCAAGACTGGGTCATAGAAGACGTGGACTCAGGAAAATTTCAAGAGCTTGGTAAATGCATTATCCCAATGAAGCAGAATTGGTAGAGGCCAGAATGTCTGTTAATAAATGGGCCATCGTCTCTGTACACATTTATAGAGAGGTTAAGTTACATGTGTGCTAAACGCATATGGCAACGTGTACTGGAGCTTTGCATTTCCGATCGTGTACACGGAAAAAAAATTAAGCAGGCATTTCATAGAATCCTTGTATGCGAACCTTTTTTAAAAAGTTTACATTCAATAAGACAAAAATCTCAAGTTTATTGATTATGACAGTAGAAAAGTGAGCTCTAATAAAACTTCTTTATCAATCTTTAACATGTTTGCATGCGTGAGAAATGAAGCGGTTTTTGGCCCCCCTCCCTTCCTTTATGATACGAGGAACGCCTAATCACTCATCTTCCATTGCGTACAGCAAGCCAGCAACTGCACATGTGTTGCCAGCGCATATTCTTGTGACGCTCACGCTCATATGCATGACAAATTTAGGGTAAAGGCATACATGTACGTGTTCTGGTGAAAACTTGTAACTTTACCTCCTTGTTAGTGCATCTCATATATCTATACACGTACACCCTGGAAAGTAGAAGAGTCCAGGTGTTATTCTTCACGACATCTTAGGAGTAATAAGGCTTGAATTCAGGATATCTCGGTCCAATTTGAGCAGTGGTGCGGCTGTCATTCGCAAATTTGTCTCAGGTTTCAGTCAGAAAAAGGTGTGTATTTCAGAGTTTCAAATCTCCAGAGGGTTTGAGTGAGAAAGGGACGACGAGACTGAGGAGGAGGATGCTTTACTTACTAATACTTTAGGTTCCGGGAGTGGCAGCCCTTGGAAGAAGGCATTGGTGCTGAAGATGTTCATATGCCTCTGAATTAAATCACCTGGAAAATGAAAGAAAATTTAACGACACATCAATATTTTTGCAAGAATGATGGAGTTTTACTGGAGAAAGATTTGGGTCATTCTATACATTCAGGGCCCAAAGGGTGACTTTTTCCTGTCCCTGTTACCTTGGTTCTTTGCAATTTGCCATTCAAGTACCAGGGTATCATTTAGAATGACTTCAAATTGCTTTATTTTGTTCGGTAAATACCGGTACAATGTACATGTAATTTACTATTCATAATCACTCTTGGAGGATGACTGCATTTAGGAGTGCATCGGGAATTATACAATCATAGATGTCAGATGTAACAAGGACAGGAAAAAAGTGGACTCCAAATTTATAGAACGACCCATTCGGGTAAGGTAATGGAGGTTTCAATGAAATTAAAATCAAATACAAAAAGTACATACAACTTTATGTACACAATTAAATGTTCTTAAAACATCTTACATGTACACAAATATATTTTTAGTTTGAAATGTTCACAATACCGGTATCTTAGAAAGTCTGCAAAAAAAAGGGAAGATGACAGTTTGTGCATGAAACATATTTTTGTCTTGAGGGAAGTAATTTCAAAGAAACAGCGCCGGTAAACTTGTGTACGTGTACATGTAAGCTTGGGAAATGGAATGTACCAAAAAAGTGGTAAAGAGGATATATATGTTGAATGCAGTGCACATACATGTAATAATGAATCAGTTCAAAGATTTTTTAAGTTACGAAGATTTTAAGTCAAACTCAGGTGTCATTTTGGAAGAGAAAATAAGTTGTATGGGTACATGTAAGTTGAATTCAAGTTGAAAGTTATCATTGTTTTCTTCAACCAAACCCTGCCCCTTCTCAACCTACACGTATACGGTACGGTAGGTTTCAGATGCCTACAGATTCATACATGTTTAAGTAAATATAGAAATATAATAACAAAAAACTGAGAAATTGACAAGGTGGCACAGACAGTAGATGACATCTGTACATAGAGCTATATTAAATTACTCTTCATTCTTGAGCGCAGAGACGCTTTGAAGCCGCTCTGGGCGCAGACATTTTGAATTTATGTGCATGTTTGTAGAATACAATCAAAATAGATGGATTGAATTTTAAAAGTGTACTCTACATGCAACGCGCAAGTAGAACATACGCAGACAACTTGTTTGGAATACAAACGCAGATATGCAAATAGCCGTACAAAAGCCGTACAAAATTTCGAGTTTTCCATAGGTTTGTGCACAAACATGGATGCGCCCATCCGGGCAATACTTTGTACATCGAGTTAGCGCTCTTGTAATTTAATATAGCTCTATGCATCTGTTTGAGCTTGTTTTGCCTTTCACAGTACCCTTTGTGTCACAACATATGCTTGTTAGAAAAGCAAACTACTTATTATCACATTTTTTATTCAGATAAAAAGAGCCGCCGGCCATTTGTGGCATCTGGTGAACTTTTCTCCGAAAGCGTGTACAAGAAATCAATATATAAAGCAATTTCTATTCATTGTCATCATGTGTTCAAACAAAAAGGAACAGCTTATACAAACATCTGAAATCAGCTGCCAATAGTACAAGCCTGGGAATAATTCACGCCGGGCACTTTATTCTTGACTCCAGTTTAATGAAAACCATTTGCCTTCGGCACAGTTTGTATAAATTGAAGAAACCAAATTTTGCAAATCTATTATCACGTTTGGGTTTTTAAATTTTAATTTGCCCATGTATGCACTATAGATGGAATCACTTATGTCAATAATGGCCATGGCAAACTGAACAAATGCGCAAACTAAATGTATTATTTAGGCGTGCTTGTTGCCCCACGGGCGCGCAGTGGGGGGGGGGGACTTAAAGGGTCCATGCAATGTTTTTCTTAGGAACACATTTTGTGCAACGTTCTACTCCTCTTAAATGGATGAAAAGTATTTGACATCCAATTTTGGTTAATTTGAATGAGGAGTACACTTCTTGAAACATGCTTTTGTGGACAACTGAGGGTGCTGAACATTGCTGTGATATCATTTCAGGGAAGACACTGTTCGCCAAATTCTAGCAACTTTTTGTGCTGAAATAGCTGTAACATTGGGTTTTCTGCCCGGAACGACATGACAGTTTTGCTCATGAATATGGAAATTTGCATTAGCACACAAAAAAAAACGAAAAGGCACAAAAATATCATTTGAAATTGGCAAAACAAAAATTGAAAGTGAAGTTAAATGGGACACAAAGGTGCATTGTCAAGGATTGCATTAAAACATTTCATTGCATGGGCCCTTTAATGGATACGTCTACTGCTGATGCATACATGTACACATATATGTATGTCCCCCCCCCCCCCCCCTATGGAATAACAAAGTTACATCTACTATTCATACATGTAGATTAAGTGATATTTGTAACTGGTACCACGCCTCACCTAGTGTTTTGCGGATGAGGTAGAGCTGGTCCACGTCCGAGCGGCCCGGCCAGAGGGGCTCAGTGGTCAGCATTTCAGCCATGACGCAGCCGATGGCCCAGACGTCCACCGGCGGGCCGTACTTGGTGTCCCCTACCAGCAGCTCGGGGGCCCGGTACCACCGCGTGGCCACGTAGTCTGTGTAGTCATCTCCAGGACCAGCTGTGTATGGAAATGAGAACAAGAGGAGAATTAAGATTAGAAAGATGTATAGTTGGTCATATCTTTGAAAATAATCATCATCATCATCATCATCATCTAGCGGTCGCAACCGAGATCTCGTTCACAACGCCACGCCAGGTGTCTTTATCCCTCATGTACAGAAGGTCTTCAACTTAACATTGGGTGTCTCTGCCAATCACATCAATGTAGTTGAAGGGTCTTCGTAGAGGTCTACCGGGTACCGGTAGATTATCTGCTCCAGAAAACATGGAGTTTGCTGTTCACACTGAACGCTCTTAAGATTAACCCTACAAATCCCCAGCCAGCCAAACTCCAACACCAGGGTTTGTTGGAATCTGTTAGGATGAGCACTGCACTAGTAAACTGACTGTGCTTTGGGTGGGATTAGGCATGTACCACAAATAAACAGAGTCCAACTGTCCATGTGCACAGTTTCCCATATGGTGTTGGGATTTGCAAGGATGAGGAAGGTTCCTAGCAAATCACCGGGGAGTTAGAATTAAAGTGTGTACATGTACACATGCGTACATGTACAGTACTACCGGTACCTGTCACAAAAAACTGTAATGTAACATCAATTGACAAACTAGTAGTGGTATTTAAATCCAGATTTTAAAAAAATTCTGTCTGAATTCCACTATCCGCTCCGTTCACAAGTACCCCCTCACCGGCAAACAAAGTACAGTTGGGGGTGACCGGCCGATGCCATCTTGCCTGACTGCAATTTTGCCGCGACACGCGGCCATACCACTGGGTGTACATGTACATGGTACAAATCCCCTGGTGTACATGTACGTGCGTCACACACAAGGAACAGTGCGCGTCAACCAGCTAAATGTCCCGCCCATGGGACGTCATTGCTTGGTAAAAGGGCGCCCTCTTTCATTGGCGCACGGAGCCCATTGGGTTTAAATTTCAGAAACAGGATATTCCAAACCAACCTTAAACAAAATTAAGCCTTCCATTTTTCGTGACAGAGGCTAAAGAAACAACTGGAACATCCCCCCATTTGCTCTGGCAATGTCATTTTTTTTTGGGGGGGGGGGGGTTTGGACATATTTTGCTTCGGATAATTTGCATTTGCATAAAGCACCATTGCAATTATACACTGGCCTCAACACAGCTTACTAAATACCAAACTGTACTGAAATGAAAACGCAAAAAAAAAAAAAAAATAAATAACCAAAAATATTTTCTACATCTCCATGATACAATATACTGAAAAAAATATATCTGCAATAACAAGCTCAGACTCAGCAAATAATTTTGCATAAAAAAAAAGTATTGACAAAAAGTTCAGAAATTATATGCGTACCCGGTACGACATGACTGCATGGGCCCATATTGATGAAAAAAACACAGTGTTTGGGAGCGGTGTTTGGTTGTTGCCATGGAAACCATGGTTGTTGTGATATGAAGCAATGTGTAATTGGAGAGCAGTACGTGAAACGGGAGACTATTGGGCTGTTCACTGCTGTCTTGGATTCTTTCTACTGAGGCCATTGTGTGTTTCGATTGGATGCACACCATCTGTCCAAATACATACAAAAAAGTGTCCCAAGGTATTGTAATACATTTTGTACATGAAAACCAGTACATATATTGTAAAACAGATGGGCCCACCTGCATACTAGTCGCGGAGGAGTTTACTATTTTATTGCAGTGGAAATTGGATATGATTTAGCTTCATACAGATTTCATTGAGTTTATACGTGTACCTGTACGTGAATACCTTTCAAGTGAAATTGTCAGTGAAATGAATTTTTTTTTATGTAAACAATTTGACTGTGCTTCACCTGATTCACTCTCTGGACAGTTTAATCTGTTCAGAATTTTAGGAACTTTTTTTTTAATCTCTCTCCTTTTGGGGTGTTTGGGTGTACACGTATTTACCGGTATTTGCATTTGGTTGATAATGTAATGATTTCAACTGACGAGCTTAAAGGGAAGATACAACATTTGCAAACATCAAAAAACAAAATGATCAAATTATCACGAAATACCTTACTGAATTGTTAGGGAATGACAGTCTAAAGCATCACTTAAACTCGTGACTCCTGGTGTGCTGACATTTCCAAGAAAAGCTGTATTTTTCCAACACTGGTCGGCCGACCAGCGTTGGAGAAAACTGTTTTTCAAAAACTGTTCTTAATTGTCCATATTTACTGTAGTTATTCTGACTATTCTTTGCAATTGATTACACACCTGTAAAGGGGTACAAGCCTGCTAGACTGATTCTCTGACCTTACAACTCCCCAAAGTGTATTAATTGCTCCGAGTTTCATCTTAAGTGGGGTCAAGGAACCAGACTACAAGAACATGATAGGTTTTCTTGGTTTTTCCAGCATCTACAAGCCCAAAACGTGAAACAAGTCAGTTTAACAATATTTTCTATAACATACAGTGTACATGTACTTATCCTCCAAATCCATATATTTCTGAAAATTGAAGCAAAAGCAAATGATGTACATTCCCTTTAAATGATGTACCGTACATGTACATAGAAGAAAAAAAACAATTCAATGTATTGTACATGTACATGTAATGTATACTACCGGTAATCTGTATTTCTCAATTTTCAAGTGCACATGTACCTTATAAATGTATTACATATGGTACATGTATACATGTACATGTATGTACACGTATGTATACGTGTAGAAATACATATATGTACAATGTACATTCTGTACCTGAATTCTGTACTTTATCCATGCAGATTTATTCAAAGTATTAAAAAAAATAATGAGGCCCAAAACAAATATATACATGTACCGGTACACTGCATGAAATTAAAAATTAAACAAAAATCTCACAGTGACCTTTTTTTGCAAGGCCTGTAAAAACAAAGAAGCTACATTTGTACAGTTGATTGGTTCCTGATGCAAGATAAGAAATGACGTACATGTACGATATGGTACTCGTCAAGTTCAGCCGTTGTTTTTGTTTGGTTGTTGCCACGGTACCCAATTTATCACTACAGCGTGAGTGAATGAACTTGCGTGAGATCTACGTCGATGCCTGCCGGATGCGCTCGCTACGTGAGGCACTTCTATTGATTGGTGCACGGGAGTTCGTATCTGATGAAGAAAATTGCTTGTAATTAAGCATTGTGCGGGCACGCGCGCACGATGTCAAGTTGGAGTCAATTGAAATGATTAACTGGTACGATAGAATACAGCGAGGGAGTAAACACAAAACCAATTGTGTAGCCACTTGTCCCTGTAAATGAACATTTGTTACAATATGATTAGGAAAATGAAAATGTAGTGTGTATTTGTATTTGTTTTGTGTAAATCTGTCAATTTAATTTGGAATAAGGGGAGGGCAGAGATGTCCTTGCCCAACTACATTTTTGCCTAATTCTTAATTTGTGTTTAATTATAACCGCCATCAAAACTGACTTTGGGCAACCAGGACAAGGGGGGATTCTAAAAGGGAACAAAATGCCTTTAATGTGTTTGGAAACAAACTGCTCATACATGTACATGTGAGGCTTCTGAGAAGACCTGCGGTTTCTACACCAATACCGGTATGTACATGTATGTACCGGTATGTGGCAAAATGTACAGGTTGGCAAAAATTATATTCGTGGGCAAAAATTATATTCGTGGGCAAAAATTATACCCGTGAGCACAAATTACACACATGGGCATACATTTCCATGAGAAAGTGAACATGGCTGAAAAATGGAACATTTACGAAATCTCCAAAACTGCAAGCATATCACAACTGCAAATGTGATATTACAAGGGACAAGACCTTTCATTTGAGTGATGTGGCAGTGGGCAATTACATTTTTTGCCATGTCCTTTTCTTGTACCAGTAACTTGAGTTATGTACATGCACCGTACGTGTGCCAAGTGTACACATACATGTATTCGATAGAAGTACACATATCTGTATGTTATGCCCATACATAGGCCTATCTGCCAGCATACACATATTTCTGCTGGCGCTAAAAGCCTTAAAGCTGTAGTCCATCATTTGCAGCCATCCAAAAAGTAACTGGCGTAATTATTGTTGAAAAACAAACTTGGTTGAAAGATAGTAAAGGAAATTATTCTTTCTGGGAAGCTGTCATTTTGAAGCAATCAACGAAAGAAGGCCTTTCCAACGGTGCGTCTTAAGACGCACCGTAGGAAAATTTAAATTAGTAGTTCGTTTTGTTATTCGACGAAGTGCGCGCAAGCATTGGCACGACACACACGCGCGCGCGGTTGCTATAATTCGTCGGATCTGTGCGCGACGTCGCATGTAGCTGCAATTCAAAACAATTCAGAACATGATTCAGTAACTTTTGATTTGAAATTGAGATCCTAGAATGCTGTTTTTCTCGGAATATACATGTACAGCTGAAGCTGAGTTGAACCTTCATCAGGTTAGTTGTTCAGCACCCTTCTTTAGATCTTGAGTCCTTTTGTTGCTTCAAACGAACAAAATGCACAAATTACAAATGATGGACTATATCTTTAAATACAGTAGCATTTCATTCCAGTGGTGATTTTATATTTGCTTTTGTTTGCCCCAATCCCAAGAGTGCCATCTCACGAGTCCATTTCCAAAATATTCCTGTATGTTATGCCCATATCTGTGTGTGCATAAAACATATTTCTGCCAGCACTAAAAGCCTTTAGCAATTTATTCCATTCCTACATGTAAGTGGTGATTTGATATTTGCCTGTTTGCCCCAATCCCAAGAGTGGCATTTATACGAGTCCATTTCCATTACATGGACAGTACCAACAGACAGGTGGAATTACATGTACTCAAGGGATGCAAGTAATGGATGGTAAATGGAGAGAGTGCTCCCCTGTAAGTATGTACGTGTAGTCTCCTTGGGAAATGGGGAAAACAACATATCTTACAAAGATGGTCATAATGGAAATCTCACGCATGCTTAACAACAAATCCCTGTGATTCCCTGCACCGTGCACAACTACCGGTACAGGTACTTTACAAATAGCCTGCCTTAACAC